GCACTCAGACCGAGCACTTAGATCACACAGGTGGGAAGGCAATTCATTTATTAAATGTATATGCTGCCCATCTCATTCTGCAAAGTAACTCTAGGTGGCATGGAAATTTAGTAAATTCTAATTCATTCTTCTAAGTTGCACAGGTAGTCCTCAACTTATAACAGTTCACTTAGTGTAGGGGTCTTCAAACTCGGCCCTTTCATGACTCGTGGACTTCAACTCCCAGAATTCCTCAGCAAGCATGCCTGGCTGAGGAATTCTGGGAGTTGAAGTCCACGAGTCATCAAAGGGCCAAGTTTGAAGACCCCTGACTTAGTGACTGTTCGAAGTTACAATGATAAAAGTGACCTATGTCAGTTTCTCAGTCACAACCGTTGCAGCATCCCCATGGTCACATGATCAAAATTTGGATGCCTGGCAACCGGCATTTATGACGGCTGCAGTGTCCCGGGGTCATGTGAACACCTTTTGCGACCTTCTGACACGCAAAGTCAATGGGGAAGCCAGATTCACTTAAGCACTGTGTTGCTAACTTAACAACTGCAATGATTCACTTTGAGGAACCGTGGCAAGAACGGCCATAAAATGGGGCAAAATTTACTTAACTGTCTCGCTTAGCAACAGAAACATTGGGCTCAATTGTGGTCTACCTATAATGGCTTGAGTCCCAACAGACCTGGAGGATGCCTGGCTGAGAATTGCTGCTCACCCCTGATGCTCAGGGCAAAACTTGGGAGCTGCTTCCAATCTGGTAGGAACTGGGAAAAACCAGAAGTTTTCCTTACTGGTGCTCCTCTCTGAGATCCACACACAGTCCTACAACTTCTATTTTCCGGGACTCCGAGCCTTGGACCTTAGCAAAAAGACAGCAACAGGGAGGAAGGAATGCTTTGAGCATCCCCCTCCGGATGCTTTTTGCTCTTTTCAAGACAACACAAACACAAACCATCTTGCAACCATGAACTTACAACAGCTGGCTGGCTTCCTATTACAGGTAGCCCTCAACTTACAAGAGTTTTTCTTTAGCGGCCATTTGAAGTTCAAACGGCGATGAGAAAAGGGACATTATCGTTTTCACACTTATGACCATCGCCGCATTCTCTGCAGGACAAAGTCAATGGGGGAAGCCAGATTTATTAAACCATTGGGTGGCTAACTTTTAACAGAGGCCATGATTTACTTAACAACTGTGGCAAGAAAGGTCATCAAATGGGGCAAAACCCGCTTAACAACTGTCTCGCTTAGCAACGGAAACGTTGGGCTCCATTGTGATCACAAGTCGACGGTTTCCGGTCTGGCGCAAACAGTTTTCCCCTTAAATTATATGACCTGTTGTCCTCTTGACTGCGAACTGCAGGTAATCCTCGGCTCACAACCACAGCTGAACCACAACTTTAAGTCAGTCTGGCTTCCCCATTGACTTTGCTTGCCAGAAGGCTGCACGACACTGCAACCGTCATAAATATGAGGCGGTGGCCAAGCGTTTGAATTTTGACCGTGTGACCACGGGGATGCCGCAAGTCGTTAAGTGCGAGAAACGGTCCTATGTCACTTTTTTTCCAGGGTTGTTGTTAACTCTGAACGGTCACTAAACAAACTAAGTCGAGGACAACCTATAAGGATCTGCTCTCAACCTCTTGGCTGCTTCTTCAATGACCCTATGAAAAATCAGGGGTGCTTCCTGACGAGATCCAAAGTTTAAGATTAGAATCATCACGAATGGTTGTAAGTTGAGGACTACTCGTCTCTCCCTGCAGCAGTACAAGGGCTGAAGAGGGTCCTGGTGCCCCAGCCTAGCTGTGGTGTAGGAACCAAAAAGGAGCAGCAGTCAAACCCTTCCCCACCCTCATGAAGAAAATATCTCCATTAAATCACCTTCCTTCGGGTTGCAGACCCCCCAGCTTCTTTGCTTCCCCGTACTGAGGCTGCTTCTTCTGCCCCGCCATGATGTCCTCTTCTCCCCAAAGGTGGGACCAGCTGAACCCCCAAAAACTTTCAGGTCAGTCTACGCTCCGTCATAGGAGAAGCGAAGGGGACAAGCGGCTTTAGCAAGGCCTGTTAGGTCCATATAGTTCTTTAGGTGGGGCCTCCATTTTGAATTCCAGTCACTCAACCAAAAATGCCCACCAAATTCCTCAGCCAGGGAGCAGAAGATGGCCCTGGCCTTCAACTTGGCTCCTTAGAAGAGAAGCAGGAGCTTCCACTCTCCAGGTTATGGCCATTGCCACAAACCAAGGTGTTGTGCAGGCCAAAATGGAGCAGGCATCTCTTTTCTGAGGTAAAATGCTAATCAAGCTTGGGAGGAACCACCTGGGAGACCCTTCGTTAAGCTGTCCAAGGTGCTGATAGGGCGGTTGGAAGGGCGCCTTGGCAACTGCTCCCGCCTCTCAGACACAGGTGAGCTCCTTAGGCAGAGAATCAAGGTCTCTGAAGGAGCCTTGCCATCTCCAGAAAAGTCCCTGAGAAGTTGCAGGCTATAAAACAGTGTTTCTCAACCTTGACAATTTTAAGGCATGTGGACTTCAACTCCCAGAATTCCACAGCCAGCATTGCTGGCTGTGGAATTCTGGGAGTTGAAGTCCACATGCCTTAAAATTGTCAAGGTTGAGAAACACTGCTATAAAAGCTTTTTTTTTTTTTTTTTGTGGTTTGATTTTCTTAACTCGTCCCTGCTGGAGTCTTGAAGGCGCTTAAGGGGGAACTGGAGTTTAGTTTAAAATTACGTATTTTTTACACGTTTTGTTATTTAAAAAAATAAAATAAAAACAAACTTGTTATTTGTTCTACACACTTTATTGTTTTTTGTTTGGCTGCTTTGTGGTTGATGTCTACTCTTTCTCTTTTTCTGTATTTCAACCTTGGAGATAAATAAAAAATATGTATTTAAAAATGCATGTTTTTTACATTTTGTTTTTTAAATCACTTTTACAAACAACTCAAGGCGGTTAATATATCCAGCGTGTCTTCCACGTCCCATTTTCTCCACAACCAACCTGTGAGGTGGAATGGGCTGAGAGACTAACTGCTCCCAAGTCACCCAGATGGCTTTCATGCCTACCTAAGGTGAGACTAGAACTCGCAATCTCCTGTTTTCTAGCCTGATGCCATTTCTCAGAGCAGCCATGTTCTTCTTATGTTTTGTTGCAGCTTTGGAAAAGGACCCTTTCAGCATTGCTTTTAGAGTCAAAAGTCATTTGAGAGTGAGAAAGGAAGGAAGGGAGGGAGGGAGGGAGGGAGGAAGGGAAAGAGAGAGAGAGAGAAAAAAAGAAAGAAAGAAAAAGAAAGAGAAAGGGAGAGGTAGGGAGGGAGGAAGGAAGGGGTAGGAAGGGAGAAAAAAGAAAGAAAAAGGAAGGAAGGAAGGAAGGAAGGAAGGAAGGAAGGAAGGAAGGAAGGAAGGAAGGAAGGAAGGAAGGAAGGAAGAAAGGAAGGAAAAAAAGGGAGAGGGACAGAGCTGGCTGGAATTTTGGCTGTGTGTAATGCAATCAGAAACAACAGATTAAGACTCATTAATCTGCAAAACACACACAAAAAAATCCACCATCTTAATTCTTCCCCCTCAGCAAAGGGGCTATCATTACCTTTCTCTTCTTAACATTGAGAAGAAATGCAGATCTTTTTCATTTTGCATTTGACTTGCTTAATCAATCTTTTAAGTTCGTTCTTTAGAGCTTGGGCCTCTTCTGATGAGAAAACCTGTTGGCATCTTCACTTAGGTTTGCTAGGTATTAGGGCCTTTTTTCCCAGGAATAGTCTTGGAGGGGAAAACTGCTATTTATTGACTTAGAAATCTAAGGTGCATTTGACAGGCAACCTTTTTTTATAGTACTATCCATGCTGACACCCTCATCTAGATTGATCTATAGCAGCCATGGGTCTTTTACTCTGCACCAGAAAAAAAAATGGGGGGGGGGGGAAGAGAGATTGTCCCAGTCACAGTTCTCCAATTAAAGAACTGGACTGCATTAGCAATTCAGAGCAGCCCTTTTGTTACCTCCATTATGCATTAACATGGGTAGTTAAAGCAAACTAGGATACCATTGCTAAGAGTTTGCTGTCTGGTTAACTGTTATCAACCACTGCATCCTGGATAAGTAACATCTGCCCAAACAGGTCCAACTCTGTTACGTGCTCCAATATGCACTCTATTCAAGAGAGTCTATTCTATTGGCTTTCAAAAGCCAATAGAATAAAAGGGAGTAGCACAGCTAAGGAAAAGGGGGGGGGGGAAATGGCGGACTGCGTTGTTTGGCAACCCCCGTGAAATGGTCATTCGACCTCAAATGGGGTCCCGACCCACAGGTTGAGAACCACTGGCCTAAAGTCTCTGGAGTATGAGAAAACTGTGTGTGTTACGCAAAAAAACAGATAATAGCAAAGTTCCTGCAGGTAGAAACTGTTGACCACCTGAAAACATAAAAATTTACCTTGATCTCAAGGTGTGTCAGCTCTCTCCAGCAGTGCCTGTGGAGAGGGATGTTCAGAGCTATAGCCCAACACTTTGACCATTAAGCTCATGGACCAGATGAGGCAGTTCTCCATTCATCAAAGCTCATCAAAGACTGCCCTTTGATCAGCAAGACAGGTTCTCTTATCACTCCAAGCTGTTTATTAAAAAAAAAACAGGATCCAGCTGCACCTTAAGAAAAGCATCCTAGCAGCAAGAAGCACTTGGTACCTGAAGCAATCATCTGGAGAAACAGCAGAGACCTCTTCGTTCGATGTTGGCTTAGACGGGCAACAGACATGCCATAATTTGGGGAACAAAGCCCATTTTTATGATTTTTAACTTAGGAGTTAAATCCCCCCCCGATGCCTAATTTATGCTCTGGAGTTTAGCCTAAGAAAGGGAAACCACCATACTGTAGCAATGGCACCATATTTTCCACACGAAGACTCGAGTAATTTCAAGATGGCAGCCATGCTGCTTTTCTCTTTTCAGGTTGAAAACATGGCAGGCAAGAATTCTCCAGCGCCAAGAAACTCTGCTCACTCCGTGTGGGTTTATGTATTGAAAGTAGCAATTTTTATTCGAGTTAAAATTATTTACAAAAACCAAAAGACATACTTCATGAAACTGGTACAAACTATTAATTCCTGCCGTTGGCTTTTTTTTTTTTGCTCCAAAGATCACAGCTGAGAAATACTGTATAAAATAAAAATAGGATTGGATTCAGAAAAAGTACTCTACGCTTCTAGTTTCCAATTGCGCTTATTTACACAGATATTTACAGTGGGAAAAAAAAAGTTTTATTTTAAAACTTTTTTTCAATTTGAAGGTTGGCCTCAAGTACCCATTGAAATGCAGAGTCCGATGAGGGGTTTAAACAAGGAAAATACACTTGCAGCTCCGTAGGGGCCATTTCCTCTGACCCTTTATCCCTCAAGACCATCTGCATCCATTCAGTGCTTGTTAATTAAAAACTGTCAACACAAAACTTTCATCATTTCCCATTCAGGTCATTTACCAGTGTAACAGAGAAGGGTGGGTCCTGATTTCCTCCAGAATTGCTTTTAATCGTCCTTCGCCATGGCACGCACACAAAAAAGCCTAACTTAAAAAGCTACATGAAATCAAACTCAAACTGGAAGCCGTTTGCTCTACAAACTAAAAATGCCAAGAAATATATATACCGTAAATGCCGGCGTATAAGACAACTTCCGCGAGCGCTGAAATCGGCGCCAAAGACGGGGGTCGTCTTATACGCCGGAAATACTGGTAGTTTCCGGCGTATAAGACGTCGTTCTAGGAATGCGGCCCGGCTATAAAGACGGGGGGCGTCTTATACGCCGGGTCATCTAATACGCCGGCATATACGGTATATATATTTATATATATATATTTTTCCAGAAAAATCCTGCATCGCAAAAAATAATTTACAAGTTCAGCTTTATTCCGTTGTTCTCCCTTGTCCTTCACCCAAGGGAAAACACACACACAGCCTCCCGCTGTCTTTTCTAAGTTACACTGGTACATTTTGGGGGTTTCCTTAAAGAGATGAGAACATTTATTTTTGATTTTTTTTTTAAAAAAAGAAGAGGATAAGCTTTTGTTTCTAATCACTTACTTCCGTACTGAAATTCCCAACAATCCGCATTATCAAAAATAGGAAGACATAGAAGGCAGCCACTGTGTGTAAAAAAATGTACAGCTTGCACTGATACAAAAGCACGTTTGTCATTTTATACACGGAGATAACAAGATCTAAAAAGCAGGTTAGAGATTTTTTTTTTTCTGTTATTTCTCCCTTCCCTCATTATACATAGAACTTAATATTTCTTATGGCTTCAAGTTTCACAAATCCAAAGTAGGATGATGCAACTACCTAAAACACAGGTAATGTGAAAAGTGTCGGTGACACACACACATGTCCCCCCCCAGAAACTTTTGCGAAGATTCAAGACCAGCTTAATAAAAAGTCATGAGCCATTCCGTCAGTCAGGACACCATTATGAGTGCAAAAGAGTCCCTAATGTTCAAACCACAACGGAATGAAACAAACAAACATAAAAAAAAAAAAGTATTTTGCAGGGATCTTCGTTCCACAAAAGTCTCAACACAATCCTTCGCTGTGAACTAGACTCTACACTGAACAAAATTTTTGCTATATTCAGCTATTTAAGGCTTTGTATTGTATGCGTTTTACCTGCTCAAAACTCAAAAATATAGAAAGATTTACCTTAACTGGAAAGATTTGACCACCGGGATGGTTTTAGCTCCGTTTCTTTGAAACAAACTGACAGCATTTAAAAGTTTTTGCTTATTCCGAAGTGTAAATTACCCTGGGTTGAACATGGTTTCACACTAACCTTTAGCAGGGCATGTTTTACTGCATTTTTAAAAAAATATAGATATAGACACCGGCCAGGAGGGGGTCTTATTCTTCCTGCATGCATCTCTCTCAGAGCTCTGACGTGTTATATGGTCTATCGGTTTACAGTACTTAGGCCACAACAATTGCAAAAAACTGAGAAGTAGTTTCCAACCACCCAATTTTCAATCAAAACAGTATAAAAAAATAAACTATCCGAGCCTCAGCCTCTTTGGATTCCAACACATTTTAAATATAGACAGTAGTTAAGATCACAAAAAAGTATTTAAAAAAATCTTTTTTTTCTGGGTTTTTTTTTTCCTTTAATCATTTTGGAATAATCTTTCAAAAAAAAAAAAAAAAAAAAAAAAACCAGGAGCAAATTAAACTCAAATCAGAGCTACGCTGCTGCCCAGAGCATTTTTTCTTTTTATTTGAATTTTCTTTTTCTTGATACCTCAGTAGCTAAAGCTGCCTTTTGCCCCTGGCTGGCATGAAAAGAACAGTGGCTCAACAGTAAACAGCAGTTGCCTTACCCGCAGCACGTTTTGTTTTTTTCCCCCTTCGAAGGTTGTCACAAAAAAAAAAAAAAAAGCCAGACAAATAAAGAGGGCGGATAAAAAAAAAAAAAAAATGCCAAATACATGGAAATACTGCGATGAGTTGCTAGAAAAAACATTTGCAAATTCGCTCGGTCCACAGATTATTTGTTTGTATTTTTTTCTTCCCCCCCCCCCATTGTTGATAAAATTGCAGATTGAAGTGGTCATGATGCTTCAGAAAAAAAAAAAAAAAAAAAAAAAAGCCAGGTGAGCGGGGAGACCAGGTAGCCTTAAAAATCCAAAGAGAAAAAAATGAGACTTGAGGAATGCTCTCGGCGCATCCCTGAGCACATCGGTCACCATCTCCTGCTTTTTCCTAAAAGAAAAAAGCAGCCCCGTCCGAGTGCCTGTGTGGCCCAACAGGAGTAACTAGCAGTGTTCCAAGTATTCAATCACTCGGGAGATTGACTTCTGGCCGGTGGTTCCAACTGCGCACTGGGTGAGACAAAAACAGGAAAAAAAAATATGTTAAGATGCGTTCTTTCTTTCGAGGGATGCTGGAACATGTCGTTTTTCTGCTGACCTGCACCAGTCTGGTTAAGGCCCCGTCGTTTTCTGAAAATAATGCTTCTTGCTCCTTACTTCCAGAAAAGCATCGTTAGGGGCCGTTTGAAAGAAACTCACCATGTTCCAGATTTCTCCAGAATAGCGGTTCTCAACCTGTGGGTCGGGACCCCATTTGGGGTCGAACGACCATTTCACGGGGGTCGCCAAACAACGCAGTCCGCCATTTTTCCCCCCTTTTCCTTAGCTGTGCTACTCCATTTTATTCTATTGGCTTTTGAAAGCCAATAGAATAGACTCTCTTGAATAGAGTCTAATTCTATTGGCTTTCAAAAGCCAATAGGAATTCTCCAGGCTGTCTCTGCCCTGCTGAGCCCGCCAAAAGTCCCATTCTGCAAACGGTGCTGCACCAGTTGAGCAGTCCTCGACTTATGACCGGTTGGGGGGTCGCAGCATTAAAAAGGTTGAGAACCACTGCTCCAGAACATCCTATTCCCCCGACAGTAGAGGTTGTGCATCCTTGTTTACATTACAGCAACACAAATTTGGAGCAGGATCAATTAGACTGGCAGTTTCCCATTTTCAAGAGGGAAAAAAAAAAAAAAACCAGTGGCTTAACAGAATTTGCTATTCGTACAGCATACTTCGTATAAAATCCTTGCCACAAGAATCCAGCCATATCTTAGGAAAAGCACCGGGGAATAAACTACCAGCATTCACAGCCATAAACAAGGGAGAATTGCTGTCTGGCTGTGCCTAATTCCCAAAGCTGAAGTTTAATATAGGTAGTCCTCAACTTACGACCCAAAATTTCTACTGCTAAGCAAGACATTCGTTAAGTGGAATTTTTGCATTTTGCAACCATTCTCGCCCCAGGGGTTAAGTGATTGGTAGCAGTGTCTAATTTAGCAGAAATGGCGAAAATCTCCACCTATTTGAAGGATCATTCACAAGAAAGATATATTAAGGTTTGGAGAAGATGGATTGATTATATTCAGAAGAAGTATGAAACTGAAAAGTATTATCTTGCTTTTGAATAGATTTAGATAATTATTAATAGTATGAATGGTATTATTATTTTTGTCTTAATTTGTTAATATTTGTTTTGAGAAGGAGTTAAAGTGTATTATGGTTTTGATTGATAGTTTAGTTGGTTTATGTTAGCTAGAGTATGTTTGTTTATTTGTTACCCTGTAATCAGCTCTGGGAAGTGGGGGAGGGGGGGAGGGGATGGGTGGGTTTATATTGTAATTTGTAAAACTTTTAATTAAAAAAAAAGTGATTGGTAGCAGTTGATAAGTTAGTAATGCAGTTGTTGAAGTGAATTTGGCTTCCCCCATTTAGTCTGACTGTCAGAAGGTCACAAAAGAGGATCACGTGACCCTGGGGACGGTTGCAACGATCGTACGTGTGAAAAAGGGTCCTAATTCATTTTTTATCCCCCAAAGCCATTGTAACTTTGAATGGTCGCTGAAAGTCGAGGACCACCTGTTTGTGGTTTGTTGGTGAACTTCTAGAAATCGCTCCCCCCCCCCACGCTGCAAAAATAATAATAATGCAAACCAGCCTACTGAAACTAATCAGGCAATAAATTACTCACAGTCACTCATGCCCTTGTCACCTCAAGACTGGATTACTGTAACGCGCTCTACATGGGGCTACCCTTGAAGGGCGTTCGGAGGCTGCAGTTGGTTCAGAACGCAGCCGCGAGAGCGATTGTGGGCGCGCCAAGGTACGCCCACGTGTCACCTATCCTCCGCGAGCTGCACTGGTTTCCTGTGGGTCTCCGGACGCAATTCAAGGTGTTGGTTATCACCTTTAAAGCCCTTCATGGCATAGGATCAGGTTACTTACAGGACCGCATTCTGCCGCACAGTTCCCAGAGACCAGTGAGGTCCCATAGATTGGGCCTCCTTCAGGTCCCGTCGGCCAGACAATGTCCGCTGGCGGGCCCTCGGGGAAGGGCCTTTTCTGTGGTGGCTCCGACCTGGTGGAATCAACTTCCCCCCGAGGTTCGAACTACTCCCACCCTGCCGGCCATTAAGAAAGCCGTCAAAACTCTCCTGTTCCGGCAGGCCTGGGGTTGATGTCCCCAGCGGGGGGGATATGATCGGACTCGCGGTATGACTGGATTATTTTATTGTTTTATGATTGTTTTAACTCTGTACGCCGCCCTGAGTCCTTTGGGATTGGGCGGCATATAAATAAGATTAAATACAAACACAAAATACAAATTAGGATCCCCAAAGATCTACTTACCGTAAGGTTCATGAAACTAAGAAATTTTTTGAGCATTTCGGTCATGATTGAGAAGTCCCCGTTGGGCAAGTATGTCCTTACAGTAGTCACGTTGATCTAAGGAAATAAAATTCTGCATTAGGACATTTCCGAGCTGATCGGAAAAATAGTTTGCGAAACGTTGACACCGAAAGAAACGCCCGTGCATTAACCCACTCCACCTCTTTCCCGACACAGGACCGATGTCCAAATATCAATCTGCGCATCTTTAATAACTGGATACAATAAAGCTTCTCAGCCATGCGTGGCTATTTTTTTTCCCCCTTTCATAAAAAGGTTGGAAGCTGTCCCTGCTCCGGGGAACAGGGAGCTGGCCCCTCTCCTTTCTACCTCCACCTGTTTTCAGGGGCGGTGAAAATAAGAAAAATAAATAAGGATATGTAAAGAGCTACAAAGCCTTTTCCAAAAGCTTTGCCATTTTAAAATTCTCTCTGGCCACGAATGATCCCAATAATACCTAAGCATCGTTCCAGCTGAGATTGCAATTGTCAGAGAAAAGCGCCGTTCAAACAGCAAAGCATTTGTTGTGTAAGAGTAATGTAGTGTCAAATATTTTATTCCCTCATTTGCTTGGGATGGCATTCCCAGCCTGCAGCAGACACAGTCATGAGCGCTGACAAGATTGGCGGGAGGGGAGGACAGTCAGTCCCCAGCCCTAAACAATGACATAAATTTGGAAACACACTGGACAATTAGGAGTGGGAAGATATAGGTCCACATGTTGAAGTTCATTTCCTGAACACTTTTTAAATTTTGGAATCCCACTGCTCAAAACTTTTAGCCCTGTTCACTGGTGACGTTGGCATTTAAGGGGCCTTGGGCAACCACAGGGTGGACAGGTTTTTGAAAGTGTAGTTCATGTGCTAAACAAAACAAAAAAAAAACCCACACACATACACACCCGCTCTCGAGTTAAACAAGGTTGATCTTGGATTGCATACCCTAGGATGGGAAATTAGCTTGGCGAGCTTCCAGCAGCCGGAGCAAACAATACAGAACACAAGGCAGGCCTCAAGTGTGTTTTGCAAACACTTTAGAAGTGCTATTAATAGCCTACCAAACATTAGATTAAAAAGCACACTGGCTGTCAGATGAATGGAGAGCACTGCATTTGTGTTGCAGGAAAAACACAACCACCACCAGCCTTGGAGAGAAACACACTTCTCTACACCTATGGAGTCCCCTGGATTGCAAGGCGATCAAACCGGTCAGTCCTAGGGGAGATCAACCCTGATTGCTCTTTAGAAGGCCAGATCCTGAAGTTGAAACTCAAATCCTTTGGCCACCTAATGAGAAGGAAGGACTCACTGGAGAAGAGCCTAATGCTGGGAAAGATGGAGGGCAAGAGAAGAATGGGACGACAGAGAAGGAGGTGGCTGGATGGAGTCCCTGAAGCAGTAGGAGTGAGCTTAAATGGACTCCAGAAGATGGTAGAGGACAGGAAGGCCTGGAGCAGGGGTGGGCAACCCAAAACACTCAAAGAGCCACTTGGACCCATTTCCCACCAAAAACAAAACACTGGGAGCCGCAAAACCCTTTTGATATCTAAAATGAAGATAACACTGTGTATATCCTTTTTTACCTTTATTATAGGTGTGTGTGTGTGTGTACACACACACACACACACACACACACATTAAAAATAAAAGTAAAAATATGACTCTTGGGAATATCCATACTATTAAAACAATGATCACCAAGAGAATGCTTTAAGAGAATAAAATTAGATACACACAAAGGTAAAAAAAGGATATATGCAGTGTTATCTTAATTTTAGATGTCAAATGGGTCTCTCTCTCTCTCTTCTCTCTCCCTCCCTCCCTCCCTATCTGCCCTTGGTCTGCCACTCCTCTTCCCCCACTCTCTTTCTTTCTCTCTCTCTCTTTCCTTTCTCTCTCTTTCTCTCTCTCTCTCTTTCTCCCCCCCCCCTCCTATCTGCTGCTCACCTGGCAAGCTTCAAGCTGTTGTCCAACAAGCTCAGGGGTAGGCAACCTTGTCTCTTTTATGACTCATGGACTTCAACTCCCAGAATTCCTGAGTCAGCCTAGCTGGGCTAGCTAGCTCTCTCCTGCCTTTCCTGCTTCCTGCAGAGACGCAGCAAAGGGAGGAGCTCCGCCCAGTAAGCTTTTCAGCTCCTCGGAGAACACTGTGAGTGCACTCTCTTTTACACATATGCACACATAAAAACACAAACACACACACACACACACAGAGAGAGAGAGAGAGAGAGAGAGAGAGAGAGAGAGAGAGAGAGAGAAGCAGGGAAGCGCACGTGCCTCTCTCTGTCTCTGTCTCTCTCTGCAAAGGCAGAGGAGGCTGGGAGCCACAGGGGAAGGCTCAAAGAGCCGCATGTGGCTCCGTAGCCGCAGGTTGCCGACCTGTGGCCTGGAGGAACGTTGCCCATGGGGTCGCGATGAGTCGGACACGACTTTGCAACTAACAACAACAATGCAATCCCAGCCCTGTTTCAGACCTACTTCCCCGCTTCAAGCAAACCCCCTCTTTCCAGCCACTTAAGGTGAACTTCCTTACGGGACTCTCCTGGCAGAGGCAGCCTAGCAGCAGTGCTGTGTAAGAGGCCACAATGCAGTCTTCCATGTGCTTTCCGGCATGTTGAAGGGCTGTAAATAAACAAGGAGGTTTTATACCAGTACGCTCGTTTTGCATGCTACACAACTTTCCTGATTTTTTCCCTCCCCCACCGCATAGAAATGCTGAGCAACCCCTAAGAGTAACAAAAGCACGGTTTCTACCCCATCAGCTCGACTCTGAACCCACTGGCTAAACTCCCGGCTTACCCGAACACAGTCTTGATCCAAAGGACAACCATTAGTCCAGTCTAAATTATAAGGTTCAAACGAAGGACGTTGGAAAAGGTAGGGGAAATCTGGCAAAACTTGGTATGAAGGAGCGAGAGAAGGAAAAGAAATAGAACTTAAAACAGGCCAGGATACTGGATACAAACAGGCAAGATGAAGCTTATTTTTATCCAACAGGACACCGTGTCGCAGCTGGAGGAGAGCTCCGTCAGTCAACGGGAGCAAAAAGCCTAAAGGCGTCTGGTAGCCCCTCTGCCAACTAATAAAATTAGCACGACTGACAAAGGCTTGTACCTCGTAGTAAAATGCGTCAAGACAGAAAAGGGGCCACCAGACTCTTTCCAGTAGTGTCAGAAGCAAGGATTTCCAGGAAAGGGACAGCAAAGGACGTAGCTCAGAGGTCCCCAACCTTTTGGGGCACCAGGGACCGGGTCCGTGGACAGAGGTTTTTCCGCAGACCGAAGGGAGGCCTGTTTTTGCGTGCTGCCTGCATCCTGTGGATGGGGCTTTGCTTGTTTGTGCGGACCGGTTGCTGGCATGCCACGGACTGGTACTGGTCCACAGACCAGGGGTTGGGGACCCCTGACCTAGCTGACACCTTAAGCGAAGAGATTTTAAAAATGAGAAAATAGCCAGGGAGTTCAACAATTGCACACTATCCTGGTTTTTTTAAGCATCTAGCCCAGATGTAGGCAACCTTGGCTCTTTTAAGACTCGTGGACTTCAACTCCCAGAATTCCTCAGCCAGCCACGCTGAGGGGAAAGGGAGAGGTTTCCAAGCTGAGCCATGCTGGCTCAGGAATTCTGGGCATTGAAGTCCACGAGTCATAAAGGAGCCAAGGTTGCCTACCTCTGGCCTAGGCCTAGACCGCATTGTGACTGGTGGACGTCAACTCCCAGAATTCCTGAGCCAGCCACGCTGAGGGGAAAGGGAGAGGTTTCCAAGCTGAGCCATGCGGGCTCAGGAATTCTGGGCGTTGAAGTCCACAAGTCATAAAGGAGCCAAGGTTGCCTACCCCTGGCCTAGGCCCTCTTGTCCAGCCACTGCCACCCACCTTTATTAAGATCCAGTTCTTCTTCTTCTTCTTCTTTCTTCTCTTTCTCCTCAGCGTTGTCTGGCTTTTCTGTGGTGACCCACTGGATCTCCCCACTGGTCTCCTGCCACTCCCCACTCTGGTCATGCTGTGCAGTGGGGGCCTCTTTAATCAGTTCGTCGGTCTGACTCTCGGCCAGCTGTGCTGCTCTCTCTCTCTCCAGGAACAACTGAGAGACCAAAACAAACATGGTTGGGTTGGGAAAACAGGCCACACTACCTTAACTCACCAGCACTGCCCAATGTCTCAGCCACCCTCTGCATTGCGGCTCCCCTTTTTACTCAACATCTCACGACACACTATATAATTCAGGCATCGCGTTAAACAGATTTGGGATTCAGCACCATGGTAACTTCAGTTCTTAGTGCAGAAAGTCCGTGCAAACACAATACCCTGATGGGGTTGAAACCTAGCATCCCACAGTTGACCATCAGTGCTGTTGTGGCAAGCCAGGCCAAGGACTTTGGGGCAAGGAGTGAAGTCAGAGCTGCTGAGAGTAGGGCTAGGGTCAGGGAAGATGCCTTAAGCCAGAGGTCCCCAACCTTTTGGGCACCAGGGACCGGTTCCATGCAGAGAGGTTTTTCTGCGGATTGGAGGGTGTGTGGTTTTGTGTACTGCCTGCATCCTGCGGATGGGGCTTTGCTTGTTGGTGCGGCCCGGTTGCTGGCATGCTACAGTCTGGCATGCTGGCAGGTTGGGGACCCCTGCCTTAAGCTACTTATCCTGTCCAGATTTGCTTCCTTTAAAAGGCAGGACAACCAAATCACTCCAGGTTTCCATTTTGTTGGTTCTGGGTCAATTTGCAAAGATTCAGCAGACCCTCTAGGACAGGGCTTTTCAACCTTTTCACCGATTGTATCACTTTTAGGATATGGCCATATTCAAGTACCACCTAGCAAGGTGCCAAAAACTTGATGACCAAATTTAAAAAAAAAAAGGAAAAAAGGGATAAAGTACAGGTAATCCTCGACATACAACAATTTGCCTAGTGACTGTTCAAAGTTGCAATGGCACTGAAGTGACTTATGACCATTTTTCACACTTATGACCGTTGCAGCATGCCCAGGGTCATGTGATTTATATTGGCAACTGATTCATATTTAGGGTCACAGTGTCCCAGGGTCATGTGATCCCTTTCTGACAAGCAAAGTCAATGGCAGGGCTGCTGTTGGCCAACTGCTAAGGCGGGACTTCCTTTAGACCCTCCCTCCCTTTCATTCCAATCTCCCTTCTTCCTCTCTTTCTTCCTGTTTCCCTCCCTCCCTCCCTCCCTCCCTCTTTCTCATTCCCATCTCCTTCCTTCTGAACGAAAATTTGAATCCCCCCCCCATATTTCCCCTCTTCCATATATTTATCAAACAAGGAAAAGCCTCCAGAGACAGGAAAGACAAGCCACTGAGGGAACTAGCTTAAAAAGGTGCATTCCCCTTTAAAAATTAGCTACGGGCTAGAAAGGAAAGTTAAGGAGCCTGCAGCAGGCACTTAAAAAAACAAAACAAATGTAGCAAGTACTGGCTGCCTTCCCCAAATGGCCCCATTCATAAGTAAATGAATCCTAGAGGCAAAATCCATCCAGGACAACAATACTTCAAAATCCCTTGCAGGGAAACTTATAGCTAACAATAGCAGAGCAATAAGAATTAGAACCCAAAATCCAACACGGGCCATCAGCCACAACAGAGATTGCCAAACACTCCTTGAGGACACCAAGCCCACACTGCACAAATCCCAGAACTTTTAAAGTCACAAAACCACATTAAGAATCTTTCCACTTTCCGTTTGTTGTTCAGCTGACCCAGAACCGTACTGCTGAGATGGCCACTTCTGAAATGGCACTTTGCTTCTGCCAATAAACTTCTCCTCTTGAGCAGCTGGCTTTTTCTTCCAACGCTTCCTTCCTTTCCGCTTCTCCCCTGCTCTCTACCTCCCTCTTTCTCATTGCCATCCTCACCTCCAGCCAATGCTGCCTTTCTTCATTCATTCTGTGTCGAGGGCGATCCCTCCCCTGCTGCATTTCTTGCCTGTTTGTCTCTGCCACCTGTGTGCGTGCCAGGCATGGATGGCTGCCACAGAAGTTGTAAATTGGCTCCCGGCTGGCCTATTTCATCTCCTCTCCTCTCTCTCCCCCCTCCTCCTTTTCCCTTCGGTGCTACGCCAGCAAAGCAGGTTATACACGTTCTTCACCTTCAGGCTGGTGCGCTGGAATTGCCTTCCTGCCTCTCACCAGCACTATTTGGCTGAGATTAGCCACGGATCCCAAAAGGGAGCTTTGCACAGAAGAGTCAGTTCCTCCGAGAAGGCGAGGCTGTTCCCACCCCCAGGAGAGGATTTAATATTTATTTGCTATGTATATGTAGGGGTGTGGGTCTATACCAGTGGTTCTCAACCTGTGGGTTGGGACCCCATTTGGGGTCGAACGACCATTTCACGGGGATCGCCAAACAACGCAGTCCGCCATTTTCCCCCCCCCCTTTTCCTTAGCTGTGCTACTCTCTTTTATTCTACTGGCTTTTGAAAGCCAATAGAATAGACTCTCTTGAATAGAGTCTAATTCTATAGGCTTTCAAAAGCCAATAGGAATTGTCCAAGCTATCTCTGCCCTGCTGAGCCCGCCAAAAGTCCCATTCTGCAAACGGTGCTGCACCAGTTGAGTAGTCCTCGACTTACGACCGGTTGAGTAGTTCTCGACTTACGACCGGTTGGGGGGGGGTCACGGCATTAAAAAGGTTGAGAACCACTGCACTAAAGATTCCCAGGCAAGTGAGATGCAAAAAGAAAGGGCGGTAAAGGAGAAGAATTAACCCTGCCTGTCTCCTCTGTTGACAGGCAGATTTCAATAACACACCCCCACCTCCCCGAATTATCACCAAACTCCCCCTATTTTGGATGCAAAAAGATGGATTCACCTGTACTAAAGCCAGAACAGCTGCTATTTGTCCAGATGAGCTTAAGCTCTCCTCGGCGTCTCCCAAGCAGAAGGAATCGAAGGAACACGAGGTTTCCATATTCACGAGGCAATGTCTGTTTCTTGCGCTGTATTCAACCAGATTAATCAAAAGACCCAAACCCTTAAGTTTAAAAGGGAAGAAAAAAGAAAAAAAAGAGGGAAGTATTACAAAACAACCACGTTATTCTTAACTTAGACATCGACTGTTTAAACCAGTGGTTCTCAACCTTTTTAATGCCGCGACCCCCAACCGGTCGTAAGTCGAGGACTACTCAACCGGTCGTTAAGTCGAGGACTACTCAGCTGGTGCAGCACCATTTGCAGAATGGGACTTTTGGCAGGCTCAGCAGGGCAGAGACAGCCTGGACAGTTCCTATTGGCTTTTGAAAGCCAATAGAATTAGACTCTATTCAAGAGAGTCTATTCTATTGGCTTTCAAAAGCCAATAGATAAAAAGGGAGTAGCACAGCTAAGGAAAAGGGGGGGGAAATGACGGACTGCGTTGTTTGGCGACCCCCGTGAAATGGTCGTTCGACCCCAATGGGGTCCCGACCCACAGGTTGAGAACCACTGGTTTAAACAGACAGGATTTTTAAGGATTTTTTTTTTTTTCTGACAAGCGGATGTACATCTCGGTAACCTTGCCCGTTCCAATTTACATTATAAATTGACAATATCGCTGCAATCGGTCCGGCTGCTTTGCAAACTATCGGGCCACGAGCCTCCAAGCGGTTTGACAGTTAATCCAGAACCGTTTCCTGCACTGAGGCCAAAAAGCTACAAAAATCTTTCGGTGCCGGATGGGACCAAGCTGAATGTTAAAAAGAAAAAGAAAAAAAGAAAGAGAAAAAGGCTGCCTTAAGGGCAGTGGTGGCGAACCTATGGCACGGGTGCCAGAGGCGGCATTCGGAGCCCTCTCTGTGGGCACACGTGCCATTGCCCCAGGCTCGCCTCTGCCCCCCACGACCCCCCTCTTCACCAGCAGCCCCCCTGGAGGAGAGTCGCCCCCGAGTGTGGCCCACACGGAGCAGGGCAGCCAAGGACATGGCTGCCAGGCAGCGTACATAAGACTGTGCCCTCACACCCCATTGTGCACAATTGATGCTGCAGGGCGCGGGCAGAGGGCGTGGCCGCAATGGCGCTGCTGGGCAATCTACGGCGGGTCCTGGAGGCAGTGAGTGGCCCTGCGGGCAGGTCGGGTGGGGGACGGGGTGGGGGCGGGGCAGGGGGTGGAGCAAGGGGCGGGGCCAGTTTGGGGGCACTCGGTCTCTAAAAGGTTCGCCATCACTGTCTTGGGGGGGGGGTCTATCGCGCAATGCAACCACAGAGACATTTTATTTATTTCCCAAATACACTTGAGCGAAGACGAGGGATTTTATGCTTACCAGAACCCGAATATCAAATCTCTGTTCTTGAGGTAGGAACTTTGGAACCTGAAGCACGCAGTTCAGAGCGGTGCCGATGAGGCCGTCTTGCTCCCCGGTCTTGGTGCTGCCCCACTCTGCCAACATTAAAAGTACAGAGAAACTGAGGAGTCTTGTTTTACAATCGGAAATGTTCCCAAGTTGTTATCCGACTCCCTCTTTTCATTTCTAGGTGGCTGTTGTGGGGAAAAAAATACGAGGAGGGGGTATTAATGCTTGTTTGCCTCCCATCAATCAGAACAGACCTGGAAGGGACCTTGGAGGTCTTCTAGTCCAACCCCCCTACTCGAGCAGGAGACCCTATACCAGGGGTGGGCCATCTTGGCTCCTTTATGACTGGTGGACTTCAACTCCCAGAATTCCTGAGCCAGCATGGCTCAGCTTGGAAACCTCTCCCTTTCCCCTCAGCATGGCTGGCTCAGGAATTCTGGGAGTTGAAGTCCACGAGTCATAAAAGAGCCAAGGTTGCCTACCCCTGGCCTAGGCCGCTTTATGACTCATGGACTTCAACTCCCAGAATTCCTGAGCCAGCATGGCTCAGCTTGGAAACCTCTCCCTTTCCCCTCAGCACGGCTGGCTCAGGAATTCTGGGAGTTGAAGTCCACAAGTCGTAAAAGAGCCAAGGTTGCCTACCCCTGCCCTAGACCAGTTCGGACAAGTGACTGTCCAGCCTTTTCTTAAAAACCTGCAGTGATGGAGCACCCACAACTTCTGGTGGCAAGCTGCTCCACTGGTTAATTGTCCTCACTGTTAGGACGTTTCTCCCTAATTCCAGGTTGCTTCTCTCCTTGGTTACTTTCCATCCATTGATTCTTGTTCTGCCCTCTGGTGCTTTGGAAAATAAGTTGACCCCCTCTTCTTTGTGGCAGCCCCTCAAATACTGCCCCCTTAGTCCTTCTTTTCTCTAGACTGGCCATACCCAATTCCTGAAACCGTTCTTCGTTAAGTTTTAGTCTCCAGGCCTTTGATCATCTTAGTTGCTCTACTGTGCACTTTTTCCGAAGTCTCAACATCTTTTTTGTAACGGGGTGACCAAAACTGGATGCAGCATTCCAGGTGTGGACTTACTAAAGCGGTACTTATACTTTATGTGAGTGATTCTATGCCTTGTTTATATAACCAAGGATTGTGTTAGCTTTTTTGGCTGCCGCCGCACACTGCTGGCTCATATTTAAATGATTGTTCACTAGGACTCCCAAGGACCCTCTCACAGTTACTGTTTTTGAGCCAGGTTTTGCCTCATCTGTACTTGTAACTTTGCTTTGTCCTTCCTAAGCGTAAAACCTTGCTATTCTCCACATTTTCTCCACCTCCTTGAGTCACTATTAAAGATGGGGTAAAAACCCAACAAATAAATGTCACCCCGTGTCCATTTCGTCCCTAAAGATGAAGAGTTTTGCTATCACAAAACATCAGTTCTTCTTCAGATCTTCTCCTTCAAGCCCACTATGCCAGGACTACAAACGAGGTTTTATTTTTGGGACAAAAACCGCTGCCATTACAAATGGGCAAAGCTGAAGGGAAGACACGGATAGGTCCAGAAGGATTAAAACAGTGGTTCTCAACCTGTGGGTCGGGACCCCATTTGGGGTTGAATGACCATTTCACAGGGGTCGCCAAACAAGGCTGTCTGCCATTTTTTTCCCCTTTTCTTTGGCCACACCCCTGGCACCCGGTGATGTATAAGTTGTTGGGGGTCACCACAACATGGGGAACTGTATTATGGGGTCGCGGCATTAGAAAGATTGAGAACCACTGGATTAAAAGGACCGTCGAGGCTAAGTCATGGGTTTCAACTGAGGGACGACCTCACATTCAACCAAGACAGGCCTTTGTCTAATTTTTGTTTTCTTCCTCTGATGCCTGAATGGCATTTGACCTGTCAATCCCCAAAGAAGCAGCTTTCATTCTTTATATCACTTTACTTAGCAGCCCCTCTCCCACATTAGTGCCATTCAAGCAATGTCCTAAGGACATTTTCTCTAGAGAGAACCCACTGTCTGCGCCACCAGCTTCCTCTTTCGATGCTCCCTTGCGTAAGTGTGTTACTTACCGTTATCGTTTGTCAAATTGAGTAAGACCCCAATGATGGCTCTCATACAGTCTTCTACTGCCTTACCCACGTGGTTCGTTACATTCTGGTGAGGCAGTGGCTTACTGTCTACAAGACAGATGGTATCTTCGGCTCGGTTGTATCTCTGGATTAGCTCCTCACAATGCTGCAATGCTCTGAAAGGTTAAAAAAAGTCGAGAAGGCACAACACAAATTATCCCTGCATCATCATCACATCCCTTAAAGAAATGTTTCCACCAATAAATCCTGATTGGAAATTGAATGTCATCTATCCTGTCGCCCTAATGTAGTGAGCAATGACAGCAATGACGGCTACACAGTCTTGGAACCCGCATTATTAGCACAGCTTCCAACATTACCTTTGAAAATGACAAGTCTTGTGTGTGTATGTAACTGTACACAGCAATTATTGGACTGATCTACAGAAATAAGCAGCGAGACAGATGAAAGAAACATCTGGAATCTTAGCTCCTTCATGCATCCAGTGCTTGCTCCAGGTTCAGCACAGCACGCACCACCGCTTAACAGGTTTTGCAGCTTAAACTTTTCTCTCTAACCACAAAGACTGAAAATCTGGGTCAATGTTTTTTCTGCAGATGATTCATTCCTGAAACTAGTTTCAGATTCAGCACATAGCACTGATGAGGTTACCTAGTTTGGGTCATAAAACGTCTTCAAGAAAACAACCAAGTTCAGAGAACACCAAGGACCCCACAGTTCAACCCTCAAGTTAGAATTATTCTCCTTTATTGGTATATGAATCAGTCTAAACATCTACGATGCAAACGGGAGGATTGCAGACAAATATAAGCAGGAGAAAGATGTAAATTATTTCCAACAGATTATTCTCATCCAAATTCATAAATTACGCTGAACAATTTATGAAAGATGAACGAGAAGACTTATCTTTGGTTACTTCTTGATGGCTCTTATTATATCCTACGTACCACTTTACAATACACAGAATCAAAAGTTGAGATTCGTTTACTAAAAAAAAAAAGGATTCTCAAAATATTAAAAAATGTTTGTGTTAAGGTCAACACATTTGTCCAAAACGTTCTGATCAAAATTATCAAAATAATTACGTCAATAAATACAAATATAATAGCACACTATCACCAAAAACTCCGCTCACTTTTCACTTTTTTCTCTGTAAATTCAGAGAGAAGCTAGTACAGGAAAGTTTCCAGGCATTAAAGCTTTCCAACTTTAAATACGCATTGAGCCGTGTTGACTAGTCTTTTAAATAGTTGTTATACCATTCAAATAAATATGATTTAGAACTTACTTAGCTGAAGAGACGATGAGCTGTGAATCCTTATATGCTATTAAATAGCTTTGATTCTCTGGATTGTGAACTGTTACCTGGGGGGAGAAAAAAATAAACTGTCAAAAGACTTAACTCTTTTTTAAGTCCTTCTTTAAATGAGCAACGCTTGCATTTTGGCAAAATTGAGCAGCCTAACTTGTAAATGGAAAGTGACCAAGTTCTCAGGATTTGAACTGCACGATAACAAATGGTGAAGATTTTTTTTTTTTTTTAATGTCCTGGAGATTTGGGATTACAAAAACAACATGGCAGTATCGAGGGAGGCAGAAACATGGGGGGGGGGTCTGCCTCTTGGGGCTATAGACGTGCTTTAAGTCAGGGGTTCCCAGCCCTTGGTCCATAGTTTGGCACCGGTCCGCATCACGCCAGGAACTGGGCCGCACAAAGAAGCAAAGCCCCATCCGTGGGATGCAGGCAGCATGTGAGACTGTGCCCTCTTTGGTCCGCGGAAAAGGGAGAGGTGATTGGGAAAATACTGGAATGTGCAGAAATGAATAGACTAACAATGACAATTAAAGATAAGGCAGAGTCAGGCTACTATGAAATCTGGGGAAGTTTTTATGATTGGCTAAAAAGAGAATACGGTTAAAAGATAGTTAAGACCAATTTAGATGGAAGAAGGAGGAGCAGATAAGGAGGGAGACCCTGGCGACCACAGTATTGAATAACTGGAGATTGTATAAATATTTATAGAAGCATATACCGAGAAGGTTAGATAAATAGAAGTATTAATGTAAGAGAAAGTTAATCTTATTGTATATAATACAGATAGGGAAATTTGGAGAGAGGAGTTGCTCGGACATTACCCCTGAATTGTATCTGAAGAGGGATGAGAGGGAAGAAAGGAGAGGAGAGAGAAAAGAGTAAAGGAGGGGAGAAGGAAGTAGGAAGATTGGAGGAGAAGAGGAGAAGGAAGGAAAGAGAAGAGGAGAGGAAGAAGAGGGAAGTAGGGAAGAGAAGAAAGGGAGAAAGAAGGTAGAGGAGGAGGAGTGTGGATACAGTGAAAGGGGAAATGGGCGAGCAACACCAAAAGTCCTGTGTATGTATTTATTTCATTTTATTAAAAGTATCTTATATATGAATGTAAAAAGAACGTATGTTAACCTCTGATAAATATCACGGTATATGTATGGGGGAGTTTGGAAAAATAAAAAATTAAAAATTTAAAAAAAAAGAAAAGAAACTGTGCCCTCGTTAGTCCACGGAAAAACCTCTCCACGGAATCGGTCCCTGGTGCCCAAAAGGTTGGCAGCCACTGCTTCAAGTCAGTATTTTACAACAGTGCCAACTTTAAGACGGGTGTACTCCAACTCCCAGAATTCCCCAGCCAGAATGCTGCAAGGGAACATGGTTGGGAAGTCCTGCTTTAAAGTGAAAAAGTAAGGACCTGGTTTTAAGGCTGTTTCAGGGATCACTGAACAGGCCAGCCTTCTAGCAGCAATTACAAAATATGACATGAACCAGAATCATTTCAAGCTGTCATCCTTCCCGTCAATGTTACTTATTATTTAGCATTTTTCAACAGACCCACTCATAAACTTTCCACTTTCTACTTTAAAGCAGGGGTTCTCCACCTGTGGGTCGGGACCTCATTTGGGGTCGAATGACCATTTCACGGGGATTGCCAAACAACACAGTCCGCCATTTTTCCCCCTTTTCCTTAGCTGTGCTACTCCCTTTTATTCTATTGGCTTTTGAAAGCCAATAGTATAGACTCTCTTGAATAGAGTCTAATTCTATTGGCTTTCAAAAGCCAGTAGGAATTGTCCAAGCTGTCTTTGCCCTGCTGAGCCCGCCAAAAGTCCCATTCTGCAAACGGTGCTGCACCAGTGGAGTAGTCCTCGACTTACGACCGGTTGAGTAGTCCTCGACTTACAACCATTTGGGGGTCGCGGCATTAAAAAGGTTGAGAACCACTGGGTTAAAGGGAGATGTTGAGATAAGGGGAATTTTGTTTATTAGATTTAAAATATTTGGAAATCAGTTGAAAAATAAGGATTCGATCTGTTTAATATTGGAAAAAATTAGATCTAAAAGGGAAAGGAAAATTAATTATCATGAATGTGTTTGATTTCTTGATTAATCCAGGCAATACATATAATGGTTTTGATTTATTAAAGGGGATATGGTATTATCAAGTAGATGATTTAATATGGTGGGAAATAGATAACTTTTAGGAAATAGGACAAGATTACAATCAAGTAGATAAAATGTGAATTTTGGGTATTATAGTTTGTTATGAAGTGAGAGAAGGGAAATCTTGGTTACCCAAAGTCTGAAAATTATGGATATCGAAAGGTTAAATTGGAATATTGATGAGAAATTAAAAATTATGTAAAAATTAATAACAGGATATGGATTGTTTATGAAGGTGAATGTAATTAAGATATGTATAAGCTAAAAAGTTATGGATAAATGTAATAATGATGTTTTGATATAATTAGAACTGTACTAGCTTGAATATGAGACAGTCAATGTTAAGGGGAAAAAGAGGAGAAATATCTGATGTTGTAACCTGAGATTTGCACTAAAGATTTTGTTATCGAACTATTGATTAACCCAGTGGTTCTTAACCTTTTTGAACGAATTGCCCCCTTGAACCAATGAGGAAGTTGTCATCGCCTGCTCCCCCAACATAACCTCTCAATCACAATATAGTTAAGAATTCTTCAATTTATGCAAACCCTTTTTTTTCTTTAAAATTGTTCATCAGGACATATCGATGCAAATAATTCATTTCCAGTCTTTTCCCCATGTCTCCCATATTCTGGCCAATGGCGTGCCACTGTATGGGTAGAGGCTGCTGCGCAACGCACATGAAAATAAGCAATGCGTCTTCACATATGTACGGCGTTCTGTACTGAAGCTAGCTGGAGGAACATTTGAAAACACAATTCAATCCACTAATAGTGAGCGATCTGATGTTTTTGTATGACAGATATACAGCGATTCACTGTACGAAAAAGTCTCAAAAATGTCCCCAAAACTTCTCGCTCCATCGCTCCCATATCGCCCCCTTTTCGTTCTTTCGCCCCCGCGTCGCCCCTTTTCATTCCATCGCCCCCCTGAAAAATGAAATCGCTCCCTGGGGGGGCAATGTCGCCCAGGTTAAGAACCACTGGATTAACCCAATCACCATGTTGCTTTTTAAATACTTCAATGGAAAATTGGAAAATTAATAAAATATTATACATATATTAAAAAAAATTTCCACTTTCCTCACTCAAGAAAGCCCTGAAACCAAAGCTCTGTCACACAGACAACTTCAGAAAGCAGAGCTAAATGTCTTCCCTCAAGCCTCAGTGAAGCAAAATGCCGATACCAATCAACAACAAGGTATCGTGTATTTGCCACTTTCTCCTTATTCTGGTTCAACGTCCGTTTTCTTTAGGATGTTTCATACTTACACTTTCCAAGACCCGTAAACATCTTTCTGCTCCCCAGAGTGACGCGACCAAATTCTCTTCATTCTCATCGCTGCTTAAATGATCCACACATTCTTTAACTGGAGAAACAAAAGACAAGCGGGATTATTACACCAGTAACACATTTTGTTAAGTTTTTTTTTTTAACTTTCCCAAAATGGCATTGTTATACGTTCCAGTTATACAACTTAAGCACTTACAGTAGGTACCTATTTAGGACAAAATAAATACCTTTATCTACAATGTGGTCAAGGCCACCCAGAAGTCGCAGCTCTTCTTTAAACCAGTCGCCTGCCCGCTTTGAAGTGAGGGAGAGGAGGGTCTCCATTGCCAAATGACCGGTCTAGAAAACACACACGTGAAATCTGAATATAAATACAGCCCAAAGGTGAAATCCTCTGACAAAATAGAGCCGCTGACAAATCTACCGTATTTTCTGGCGTATAAGACGACTTGGCGTATAAGATGACCCCCGACTTTTGAGAAGATTTTCATGGTTTAGAACAGCGGTTCTCAATGTTTGTGTGACGGCGACCCCCATCACACAAACGTCATGCGCGGGGGCCCATGCATGGCACGCATGCGTGGCGACGCCCCCATGCGCGGCGCGCATGTGTGGCCCCCGGGAGGTGCAGCGCCGCCCCCATGCGCCGCGTGCATGCGCGGCGCTGCCCCCGGAGGGGAGAAAATGGCGGATCATCGCCTTTGGCAACCCCCGAAAAATGGTCGATCGACCCCAAATGGGGTCGCGACCCATAGGTTGAGAACCGCTGGTTTAGAAAGTCATCTTATACACGGAAAATACAATATATGCGTTTCAAGGCAGATTCCCCCCTAACCCTAACTCTATCAAGGTTGCCAAAAAATATGCTGTATATAACTGTTACTACTACTACTACTACTGCTACTACTGCTACTACTGCTACTACTACTACTACTAATAATAATAATAATAATGGTGGAAGGGACCTTGAGGTCATCGAGTCCAACCCCCTGCTCAGGCAGGAAACCCTATACCGTTTTGGACTAATCGCTGTCCAGTCTCTTCTTAAAAACTTCCAGTGTTGGAGCATTCACAGCTTCTGGAGGAAGGTTGTTCATTGGTTAATTGTTCTCACTGTCAGGAAATTTCTCCTTAGTTCTAGGTTGCTTCTCTCCTTGATTAGTTTCCATCCGTTGCTTCTTGTCCTGCCTCCAGGTGCTTGACTCCCTCTTCTTTGGGGCAGCCCCTGAGATACTGGAAGGCTGCTATCATGTCCCCCCTCGTCCTTCTCTTCATTAAACTAGACAGACCCAATTCCAGCAACCGTTCCTTGTATGTTTTAGCCTTCAGACCTCTACTGCTCCTCTGTATTTTCATGCGATTAAAAAAGGTAAAATCGGTGCTCACCGTTATATTTTCGAGATCCAGGTGCTTATTATGGACAGTTTCACAGAGTCTCCGGATTTTTTCCTTGATTTTGTTCATGTCTTTTTCGTTGAACAACTTGGAGGAGGAATCCTGTTCAAGCTCCAGAAGTCTGATCATTAAATCTAAGCTGGCTCGGTCTAGATCCATGTTTAAGCGATCTCTGCTCAAGATATACATTAAAGCTGCTGTACAAAGCGATAAGTTCTTCAGCAAAAGAAAAAAAGAACAGGAAAAAGGAGTAAACCTTTGAGTAGGAGAAAGTGAGGCTAAGCTTCTGATTTCAAGATGTTTTAGAAGAGCCATATAAGGTTAACAATGATTTCAGGGTTATGGATTCACAACTCAAAATGAAACCCAAGTTTTCTTCTCTAGGGAATTTTACTATTAAATTGTTCTATTTCGCTTAAAATATCTTTCACTCAGAATGCAGCTCTATTCCCTTGAAATAAGTAACTTCTCCTTAAGTTTAGCAACAGTAGCAAAGGCAATTTCATGCATATATTTGCATGTGTGCGCATACGTGTCTACTAACTAAGATAACCTTTATTGGGGCCCGCATTAAAAATGCAAATTCTGTTGCTGCTCTCAAAAGTGTACACAACATAACATTCATATAGACGCGCTATAGACATACATATTCAAAATTTGTGGCTGGCAAAGAGTTAGTGCAGGGGTTCTCAACCTTGGCAACTTTAAGACTTGTGGACTTCAACTCCCAGAATTCCTCAGCCAGCTTCCTGCTGGCTGAGGAATTCTGGGAGTTGAAGTCCACAAGTCTTAAAGTTGCCAAGGTTGAGAACCCCTGAGTTAGTGGGAGACTAGTATAGTTATTTCAGGCTCATTTTGCCCTCATCAGCTAGTCACGCCCTTCAGACATACATATGTATAGACCTACACCCTTACATATACATAACATATAAATATTAATCACTGTCCATCTTGAATACATAATGGAAGGAGGAAGCTTTATAGGGTTCACAAGGTTGATCCTGTACGGAACAAAACTGTGAAGCCTCCTTCCAAAAGTTAACAAGGAAACTAGAGCATTTATTTGTGTACATCTTCTGCACAACGATTGTGAGATAATTGTCAAAAAAAAATAAATCTATACCAGAGATATTTATTTGTATGCTCAATTTAATGCTGTGACGTTACATCTGGAGCATGCAGCGCATGTTAAAAGTGGGCATCCAGAATGACTAGATAGAAAAGGAATACTATATTGTTGTGATTATTTGCAGAAATATTAGAAAACTTTTATACTTAATTATCGTTTACTAAAACAATAAGAACTGTTTTAACTTAAGGTCGGCCAAAGAGAATGTGATGGGGAAAAGAGGAAATTCATGTAAAGTTGTCATGTGGATGATAGACTATAGAATTTAATTGTTAGTGAATGTTTGCAAAATGTAAACCCGGACAATGAACTATCTACCGAATACTAAGGCGATTATGTTAAAAATTAATAAAAAAATAAAAAATAAAAGTGGTATCTTTTCCTCCCCTTCAAAAATTCAAAGCAAGCTGTTCAACAGCGCCATGCCCAACTTTTCTACGTCCCGTGGTCCTGAATTCAAAACACCTTGTTCTGTGACAAACTGGAAGTTTCAATCGTCTGAACATTTGAAACACTTCCAATGCACCAGCAGAGTTCGTATCGCTAGCAGGCTGATTCTTTTAAGAGACAAGCCACCATGATATAAACAGCTATGGAATGCAACTGTGCTGCCCTTGGTAAAGACAAAGTCTGACATTTTTCTTGTGGAGTAAATATTTCGATTTCCTGCTTTACTAAACAAAAAAAAATGTTTTTTAGAGATCCAAAAAGCCCCCATCCTATTTGTATCCCGAAGGACACGTTAGCAAGAGTGATAGATGACCCTTCTCTTTTTTTTTTTTTTTGTTCCTATCTGGGTTTGTTTTCTCTACGTATTTATTTCTTTCAGTGTATTAAATGTTATAAACAATTCTTCAATTGTCCAGAGTTGTTAGGAGTTGGGCAGCATATAAATTTATTACGTCATGTGTTAAAAACACAGGAAACCCCGCAAACGGCATCTTCACGATTATTTTAAGAGTGGTGGCAGCAGCAGCAGAAATGGATAAAAAGCGAAATAAAACTGTATTTTTAGTTTACGGTTCCTAATCTTTTAATACACACACAAAAAAAAACCCCATTTCCCTTAGAGCAGGGGTTCTCAACCTGTGGGTCGGGACCCCATTGGGGTCGAACGACCATTTCACGGGGGTTGCCAAACAACACAGTCCGCCATTTTTCCCCCCTTTTCCTTAGCTGTGCTACTCTCTTTTATTCTATTGGCTTTTGAAAGTCAATAGAATAGACTCTCTTGAATAGAGTCTAATTCTATTGGCTTTCAAAAGCCAATAGGAATTGTCCAGGCTGTCTCTGCCCTGCTGAGCCCCCAAAAGTCCCATTCTGCAAACGGTGTTGCACCAGTTGAGTAGTCCTCGACTTACGACCAGTTGAGTAGTCCTCAACTTACGACCGGTTGGGGTCGCGGCATCAAAACGGTTGAGAACCACTGCCTTAGAACAATGGTCAGCTGAAAACACAGTTTTGAACTGCTGCGAACGACACGAGGCAGACGTACCTGGTGGTGCTGTGAGTCATCCAGGGTCTTGAAGACCATCGCAACCATTCCATGTGCTCTCAAATGCATTCGGAAACTGGGCATGGCGCATTTGGTCGCCAGGCTAATAACACTAGAATGAATGAATGAAGCAAGATTTAATGAGAACTGAGCAAATAGAAAAGCAGAGAGGTGCCAGATCAAAGAGAACTGTTGACGCAAACGAAAAAGCAGTAATATACTACTGACCCATCAGAAAAAAAAAACTAAAAATGTACACATCTTTATTAGAGTTTGTAAGATTTTGAGCTCTCTAGGACTGTTCATCGGACAGAATGCTATGAAACCACATATATCAGTGGTGGCGAACCTATGGCACGGGTGCCAGAGGCGGCACTCAGAGCCCTCTCTGTGGGCACGCGCGCCATCGCCCCAGTCCTAGGCCTTCAGCTGTGTTTTATAAAACCTTTTCGCTTTAGGCCTCCGCCGCCATGTGCCCCCCCCCCCAAAAGGTTCAATCAGTCAATTTCAACTTCTCGCGGGAAAAAAAAGATCTTGCAAAGTTGGAATTGATTGATTGAACTTTTTAGTCCCACCCAGTCTGCCATTACCACCGCAGCCATGCCCACCCAAAGGGCCACACCCACCCAATGGGCCACACCCACCAGGCAAGATGCATAAGTGGGTTTTGGGTTGCAGTTTGGGCACTCAGTCTCTAAAAGGTTCGCCATCCCTGACATACATGAATCCTTGGGAAGGATTACGCAAAACTGGAAGGCTGCACACACCGTTGTAACATTTTGCTCCTAATAAATAAATTACTAGCTTAATCAAATGAGACCATTCTGTAAATTACTTTTTGTTGTTTTTTCTCTTTAATCATAGTTAACATGCTCTCAGTAACTTGGGAGGGGGGGGAGTAGGACACCATCATTAGTGATGTTTAGCTCTGTTTATAGCTAAAAACAGATTAATTCTGCCTTGTTACCTATGACGGGTTTAATACTGAGTCAAGCTGTATGCATTTTGTGCTTTAAAAAAAATCAGTAAAATGAGCTGCATCACAAATTGAAATCAACATTACTCAGAATTGATGCAGTCGTTTAAGGAAGGTAAAATGACTAAAAAAACACACTAATCTTTTATGAAACATGAGATGTTTCTTCGCATCGTATTTCATATAAATTTTTTTTTTTGCCACAGAAAACCTATCAGAAAATGACGTACAGCTCTCGCTTTCAGGCAAGAAAAATGAAAGTCGTTTCATTTTCAAGAACTGCTTGCTTTTTTTTTCTGCTAAACATCAGGAAGAAAAGCATTCTTCGTTCATACCATTCATTCTGCTAGCTGGATTTCATCTTCGGAATAAGAAAATAAATGCCCCAAATATTGTTAAAAACAGTGTTCAAAAAATCACTCAGTATTATGAAAGGCGAATGTGCAAATTGCTTAGTCTTTGGGTTTTCTTAGTTCGTTTCAAAATATCTTGGATTTGACGTTCCAATGCTCTTTAAAATGTTTTATCGCTAAAATACACATTGCAAGAAAAGGAAACACACAGTTTTTCTTCTATGATTTGTCTATGAAGTGTAAAAGGTAATCAACTGCACTAAAATGGTGCCAAAAAAAAAACAACTCGTTGTGGCACTTCTACAAGGAAGATCCATCAATGGCTTCTTCTCCCAGTAATTCTGACTACGCTACCCCTTGAAATTAGCAGAACCCTAGGCCAGGGGTAGGCAACCTTGGCTCTTTTATGACTCGTGGACTTCAAATCCCAGAATTCCTGAGCCAGCATTATATTATATATTTTAAGTAGTATGTTATTTCTTATGTTTCTTTACTCTTGTTTTCCTTTCTTTTTCTTTTTTCTTTTCTTTTTTCTTTTTATTGTTTTATCTATTTCTTAAGAAATGTAGAAGCGTGAGATGGCTTATATGGAAAAAATAGAGTTAAATTTGTAAATGTAAATGTAATTAATTTTTGAGAAAATCTTCACCAGTAAGAATATGTAGAATTTGGTGGGAGAAATAAACTAAAATGAGGATTGTAACAGGATCTATGATAAGGCAATAGATTGAATAGAAAAGAAATATTATACTAATATGATTATTACTTTTAGGAATATTGGGGAAAAAATTATACATTCAATTGTTATTCATCAAACCAATAAGAATTGTACTAAACTCAATGTTTGCAAAAGAGGTTACTTTGGAGAAAGAGGAAATCAACTAAAGTTAATATGTGGAATATGTTATAGAAATTAATTGTTAATGATTGTTTTGTAAATGTAATCCAGACAACACACTGTTCACCAATTATTGAGTGATTTATGTTTTTTTTTTAAAAAAAAAAAATCAATAAAATATATATGTTTTCAAAAGGAATTCTGGGAGTTGAAGTCCACGAGTCATGAAAGAGCCAAGGTGGCCTATCCCTGACCTAGGTCAAAGGCATCTTATAGGAAGTGCTGTGAAGAGAACAGCAAATCTTACCACCCAACTCCATCCTTATCACACATTCCTAAGGCCAGGATTAGCTGTAGACATTCAACCGGCCTCTTGTAGCAGGCTAGAAGTGAACCAGGCATGAGACAACAAACATAGATAGGTAGCTTTGTTCTTGGATCACATATTCCTAAAAATATGTTGGAACTTGCCATTTTCAGTTATCACGTTCTTCGGAAATGCCAACTTCTGGGAATTACTGTTCTCGTTTACCAGGACGTGGCCTGGTGGAGAACATCCAGGCTGCAGTCAACTTTGCTTAACAAAGCTTAGAAGCCATTAGCCTGCTATCCTCCTTGGCTATTTCTCCCGTGCTCAGCGTCAATTCTGTATTTTTTTTTTAATTTTTTTCATTTTTAACCCACAAAACAAAGCAAAACATAACACACATACACACACAGTATATACTCCTCCTCCCCTTTTTTAACAGCGATGACGTAACAGTAATCTTCAATTATTTACATTTTATTCTTATTCTTCTTTAGAATATTTGTCCTTATTGCCCCGTTGTTTCTTATTTACATGTTTCTTCCTTCATATTCTACTTCTTACTAAGAATAATTCCTATTATTGTTATTATACACATATTTTCACTTTTGACCTTTCCATATTTATTATTTCTAGTCTCCAACCAGTCGTACCACTTGTTCCATGCTATATAGTACTCCGTGTCTTCCTTTTCTTTTATCTCTTTTGTTAATTTGTCCATCTCAGCACAGTCCAGGATTTTTCTTATCACTTCTTCCTCTGATGGTATATTCTCATTTTTCCAGCACTGTGCATATCTCAGCATCAATTCTTACGGTCCATCAATTTCCCTTTTTCTTCTGTTCTCCCCCCCCCCCCCCCCCGATGTCGGGTAAAGCCGAGAGGCTCCCAAACAGACATCTGCAAGATCAAAAACATCTCCAAAGGGGGTTGTGTACTCAATGAGCCCATCAAATAAGGGGCTGTAAAGCAGCAAGGAAATCTTGACAATCACACATAGCATTATTGCACGCTCATCGCTGACTGGTTAAAAAGAAGACAAGGATGACAGAAGACCCCACTGGAAACGGTCATCGCTGCTTCTTTAGTGCAAGGGAGAATGTCAGCTTCAATGAAGCAAGTTCCTTATACACACACACACACAAGCCGAACTTACCTATCATGCCCACATTAACCACAGTTGATTTAACAAGCCCCAGTGTAAAAAAAGGTAAAGGCTTTTTGGATTATGATTTGGTGGAACATTCAAAAGATTTTTTAAAAGGAAGATACAAGTTTACTCCTCAATTATTCTTATGGGGTATTTTTGTGGATTCAAATGTCAAAGAAACTATTTTAATGTTGAATGTATTAACTGCAGCAAGGTTACTAGTAGGCTCGTACTGGAAGAAAGATCCATTGCCTCCTTTAGAAGAATGGATATTTAAAGTTTCTAATTTTGCAGAAATGGCAAAAATTTCTGCTTATTTGAAGGATCACACACAAGAAAGATATATATTACTGTATGGGGAAGATGGATAGATTATATTCAGAAAAAGGACGGGACTACAAAGTTTCATTTATTTTATGAGTAAATTTTATAGCAAATGTTGTAGAAGAGATTTGTTTATGATGATGTAATTTAAGGGGAGTTAAGGGCTAAGTATGATTCTTTTTTTCTTTCCTTTTCTTCCCCCCCCTTTTTTTATTGTATATTGTTAACTTTGTTATTAATAACCCTGCACTCTGCTCTGGGAAGTGAGGGGGGGAGGGTTGAGGGTGGGTGGGTGGGTGGGTGGATAAAGATAATATAGATATGGTAGTTTATGAGAGAGGTGCTGTTTGGGCAATGCCCCTATGCTGCGTTCATGTGTTTGAGAGGGATGAGAAGGGAGGAAGGTGCAGGGAGGAAGTAGGATGGTAAGAGGAGAAGGGGAGGGGAAGAGAGTAGTGAGGGGAGGAGAGAAAGAGGAGGGAAGTAGGGAAGGTATTAGAGAGGGTGGACGCAGCCTGGGGGGAATGGGCAGGCAGTACCAATGGTTAGGAATTTATTTTATCTTGTAAATTGTATTCTGTATGTTGAATAAATGGAAAATAAAAACTTTTTATTTAAAAAAAAGGGGGGGGGGCTGTAAAGCAGCAGGGAAATTTGACAATCACACATAGCATTATTGCACGCTCATCGTTGACTGGTTAAAAAGAAGACAAGGATGACAGAAGACCCCTCTGGAAATAAATGGTCATCGTCGCTTCTTTAGTGCAAGGGAGAATGTCAGCTTCACTGAAGCAAGTTCCTTATATACACACACACACACACACACACACACACACACACACGCCGAACTCACCTATCATGCCCACATTAACCACAATTGATTTAACAAGCCGCAGTGTCTAGCTTCACCCATCCAGCTAAGCCAACGGCAATCAACTGCATGATGGTTTAGTAGCAAGATTTGTCCACTGAGCCGCATCCTAATACGGTATCAGCTTATTCGCTGAAAGGACTGAAGTGTTGTGGGAGGTTTTCAGAGGCATCACTTTGTGTCAAGTCACTCACAAAACTCCACCTTATCATGAGGATAAGGTTACCCTGCAATTAGGTAGCTCTTGATAACTAGAAAGCAGAGAGGAGACCAAATAACACAAAGGGTCTTTCTCTCTGCTCCAGCGTCCACTGCTGCTGGAAACCGTTGTTTCCACTGGAGACTTGCAATGGAGATGAGTGACAATCTATATGTTGTGATTCCTCGCCAGCCAGTGGACTGGGCAGCTGAGTCTGAGGAATCAGAGGAGGAGGAGGGGTCTGGAGTGACATCAGAGGAGGAGAAAGGCTGTGAGGAGCTCCAAGACTTACAGTCGTACGAGCAGCCTGGCCCCTCTACTCGCGCTCAGGCTGAGACACAGCTGTGCTGGGAGCCTGAGTTGGACAGTGATGAATCACAGCTGGGAGATATCCAGGATGCACGAAAACGCCAGCAAGAAAAGAGAGCAGGACAGAGGAAGGCAATGGGGCGGCTCCAAAGGCAAAGGAGAAGGCATTAGGAAGCCATGCATTGGCTGCATAATAAAAGGGAAGGTGTGGGAGCTGCTGGCTGCCGAAGGCGACCGTTTGTGTTGAGGATGGAGTTTCTGTGAACTGTGTTTATTTGCTTTGGACATTGACTCAGATCTGTGAATAATAAAAGGGGACTGTTTTTTTCCTGCGGTTCCAGCCTGCTTGTTGAAAGAGGGGTTTCTCCTTGTGAGCTTAACAAGGACTCACGTGGGCTGGGACAGAACACTATATAAGATAACTGTTACTGACTTTCAATCCAATTAGGGAGACCTATTACTGCATTCAGTTTTGGTCACCACAATGTAAAAAAGATGTTGAGACTCTGGAAAGAGTGCAGAGAAGAGCAACAAAGATGATTAGGGGACTGGAGGCTAAAACATATAAGGAACGGTTGCTGGAATTGGGAATGTCTAGTTTAGTGAAGAGAAGGACAAAGGGGGACATGATAGCTGTGTTCCAATATCTCAGGGGCTGCCCCGAAGAAGAGGGAGTCAAGCTATTCTCCAAAGCGCCTGAAGGCAGGAGAAGAAGCAACGGATGGAAACTAATCAAGGAGAGAAGCAACCTAGAACTAAGGAGAAACTTCCTGACAGTTAGAACAATTAACCAGTGGAACAACCTGCCTCCAGAAGCGGTGAATGCTCCAACACTGGAAGTTTTTAAGAAGAGACTGGACAGCCATCTGTCCGAAATGGTATAGGGTTTCCTGCCTGAGCAGGGGGTTGGACTCAATGACCTCCAAGGTCCCTTCCAACTTTATTATTATTATTATAACATCTGACTTTTATCAATCTCAGTAGCTTAATAATAACAATTATTATTATTATTACTACTACTACTATTACTACTACTACTACTACTACTATTACCTATGTCTTGGGATGAAAAGACGACACACTGGGGCCTTTCTTGACATTTACAAGGTCATGACTCAACAGCTCTGGAGGGACAGCAAGCCACACCAGACAGCAGAAATACAAGGGGATGAGTTGCTATATGAAGTAGGTCAGAAAGACGGCAGATGATGCCTTTCTTGGTCTCCATGCACAATGGTGGCCTGACTCTGTCTAAGAGTCGAGTCACGTACGCCTCTTAACTGAAACATGTTTGATGTAGCATCAGTAAGACTTTTGCACAATGGCGCCAATGTAAAACTTCTCTCAGTCTCAAAGTTGCCAGTTTCAACGAATAAACAGCTTCCTTCCTCTTCTCACCTCCTGACGCCACCGTATCACGACGCAACCATCTATGGAGGTTAAGGAAAAAACTATCCAATATATATATATATATATATCTTACCTAAGGCAACGAGTGTTTAGGGGCTGATTGCTCTTCAGTCCACTTAATAAATACTCAATATCGTCTGTGAACTCTTGGTTTTCCCCAAATTCTACCACATCATTGAAGTGTTTCACATGTTGTACGACGGTGTATAACTGGAAAGCAAGCAAACAGTATGTGATCAGAGATTTAAAAGAGATTTCTCAAGTTCTCGACGGAATATATGCCTCAGATGTTTACCTTTAAAAAAAAATGGTATTGTGGAAAAAGAGAATGTGAGTTGCTCCACTTACTTCTTTGTCTTCTTTCCTACATTTCAAGGCAGTTACTATCTCCTGATAGGGCTGAGTTGGTAGAGTCACAGTTTTTATCACTTTGGGAGGTGGCGCTGGGGCCTTGAATACCCCATCGTCCTTCGGAGCTGCCTCTTTTGAAGACCTGGCCTGTTAATTACAAACAGGGATGGATGTTCAAGTACAAGGTGGGAAATATTTCCCTTTTCCACCAGACTTTAGAAAACGTAAGACCAACCCTTCAAAGACGCCAGTGCAGCATAAAGGAGATAGTGTGACGCTTTTGAACTGTTTATTCTGAAAGGTATTAGTGAGCAACTGAAACAAATGTACATTTCTTCCCGTCCAAATTTTGGTTGCCATGCTACAAAAAAAGATGTTGAGACCTTGGAAAAAGTACAGAGAAGAACAACTAAGATGATCCAAGGCCTGGAGACTAAAACATATGAAGAACGGCTGCAGGACTTGGGTTCGGCTAGTCTGAAGAAAAGAAGAAATAGGGGAGACATGATAGCAGTGTTCCAGTATTTGAGGGGCTGCCACTAAGAAGAGGGGGTCAAACTATTCTCCAAAGTATCAGAAGGCAAGAAAGAAACAATGGTTGGAAACTGACCAAAGAGAGAAGCAACCTGGAATTAAGGAGAAACTTCCTGACAGTGAGGACAATTAACCAGTGGAACAGCTTGCCTCCAGAAATCGTGGGCGCTCCATCAGTGGAGATTTTTAAGACGAGACTGGACAGTCACCTGTCTGAGATGGTATAGGTTCTCCTGCTTGAGCAGGGGGCTGGACTAGAAGATCTCTAAGCTCCCTTCCAGCTCTATTCTATTCTATTCCAAAGTAAGAAGTCATTGATGTCTCAAATTCACCATTCTATATATTTCAACTCAGAAGGAAGTCCCAGCCTCATGGTTCCAAACTTCCTAGAAAACCTGCACTGCCAATCTTTCAAAAAGAAATTATACTCTTTTTGCACTTAAATTCTTATTTTTGGCCTTCCGCTTCTCTTAAATTGAGGGGGTAAAATTAATGTTTTATTCCAGCATTATTCCACAATTTATTTATGTTTAAGACAGTGGTTCTCCACCTGTGGGTCGGGACCCCATTTGGGGTCGAACGACCATTTCACGGGGGTCGCCAAACAACGCAGTTCGCCATTTCCCCCCCCCCTTTTCCTTAGCTGTGCTACTCCCTGTTATTCTATTGGCTTTGGAAAGCCAATAGAATAGACTCTCTTAAATAGAGTCTAATTCTATTGGCTTTCAAAAGCCAATAGGAATTGTCCAGGCTGTCTCTGCCCTGCTGAGCCCGCCAAAAGTCCCATTCTGCAAACGGGGCTGCACCAGTTGAGTAGTCCTCGACTTATGACCGGTTGAGTAGTCCTCGACTTACGACCGGTTGGGGGTCGCGGCATTAAAAAGGTTGAGAACCACTGCTTTAAGATAAGGTTTCCCAATCTTAGCAATTTAGTGCTAAGCCTGGGGGAATTCTGAGCGCTGAAGCCCAAACATCTTAAAATTGCCAAGGTTGGGAAATCCTGCTTTAAGAGATATTCCAGTGTTAATCCTGAGTTATGGATTTGCTTTGGTTAGACAATTCACTGAAAAATGTTATATAGGAAAAGAGGCCACTAAGGATTTCATTTTGAAGATGTTGGTTTTATTTACCCAGATTTTCCAAAATATTACCCAGGCTCATCTTTGGCTACATTTATGTAGAATGAAAATTTAATAGAATGTTATCTATTCTCAGCTTTATTGGAAAGCTTCATTTTTATTTATCTCTAACAGAGTCTTAGAAAATGTTTTGGTCAATATATAATAAAAAGGTGATTCATTTCTGGGACAAACACATTTACGCTCTGTGGTGTTGTAGATTGGATTTTGATATCAGAGGTCGTAAATATTTTACACTACGGAAGAATTCTTTAAAAACCGGCGGCAGAATAATCTATCTGAAACTACGAGAGAACTCAGGAATAGTTTTAAATCAATGACTTGGATGGATGGGCGTTGAGCAGAATTTTTTTCTTGCTGACAGGCATTACAAAAGGGATGTATACTGATTTGCTTCGCATAGTTATGATTTTCAAATTTGGACTGGCACAAATTGGTCTGGGAAAAAACACATTAAGAAAATCATATTATCCTATCTGGTGGATGTGTCCTAATGCAAAGAAATTTTGGTTTAAGATTCATATATAGCTGGAAAAAGATGACTAAAATACAGATAGAATTTAAGCCAGAACTGTTTTTGTTAGGAATATTAGGACTTAATTATGGTAAAGAGACTGAATATTTAATGTTACATGTACTGACAAGCCTCAAGAATAGTATTTGCCCAATTCTGGAAAAATGAAAATTTACCACCGGACCAGATTATAATCACGAAAATTCTAGAATGTGCAGAAATGGATAGGCTAACTTTAGAGATTAAAGAGAAAGAAGATTCAGTTTATTTCAAAACATGGGAAACTTTTTTATCAATGGTTAGCAATGGTTAACGATAGAGTGAGAAAAGATGATGAAATTTAAGAGGATGAATGTTACTTATTAACTAAGCTTTACTTTTATGACTATTGCTATTATCGATGATTATAACTGTTTAGTATTATATCAATTACTGTCATTTAATATTTGTACCCGGATGATAGTCTGCTTGCTAAAGCGTTGAATTTTTGTTGGGAGTAGCCCCCCCTACCCTCATCCCAACCCCATTCCCTAACCCCATCCAATATCCATACTGATCTTACTTCTTCCCTACCCTTATAAAACATTTATATATAAAAAAAGAAAATCTCAAAAAAAGAGATATACTTGAAATGCATGTTATAAGTGGAAGGAAAGAGTTTAACTACTCTCTTTATTCTAAGAGACTATGTTTTTAAAAAAACTTGAAAATGCTTTTACATTTTCTGTGGGGAAGGGACTTTTCTAAGAGTAACAAATGCTCATTTACCAAAGAGAAGAAGTCTTTTCTTTTTGTTTCCTATAGGAATTACTTTGTCTTCACTTTAAAAAAAAAAAAAACCATGCCCTTATCCAAATTTTCTGCAATTTGGGGACAGGGTAGTATTCAACATGGATTACCACCCACTTATTCCTTTGGCTTTGGCTAACCTTTTCCTGCTGTTCTATTGAGAATTCTGTTCCAATGCAACCCAGCCAATCAAGAACATTATGAGTGGGTTTGTTTCATTCCAAATTTGAATCAAAGCACATTTTCTGCTCCGTGTGCCTTCCGGATTCCATTATCCCTCTTTTGCATGGCACAAGTCTGACCATTTTTGAGTGAGCGTTGTGATGTCAGAAATTCTGTTCCAGAACTTAACCACTAGAATTGGCAACCGTTGTTCGGAATATTTCTTTCTACTGGTGAATGCGCGTGACTTTAACTTTTGGATTTTTAAGAAAGGCGGTATAAAAATGTCATACTCACTGGAACGCTGGGATTTTTCAGCAGTTGTGATGCTGGAAGAACCTCAGATTCTGGCTGATTCCAATGTCTAGCATTGTACACAGCTTTTGTTGGTGACTGAAAATTAAAACAGAACATTAATGTCTGAAAGAAACCGAGTTCGTTCTTCAGAAATACCGCATGTTAAAGGTACCAGTTAAAAGGAGATTTTAATAACAGTTTTTTTTCTCAAAGTATTCCCTCTTAATTAGGGAATGCTAAGAAATATTCCCTTAAAATATTTTCTATATTTTAATTTTAAGGTGTAAAGATAATCCTCCCACGTCAAAACGGAAATCCCATTTCATTGCTTCAAATTCTGAGAATATGTCATTGGTCTTGAAGATTTTAATGAAAAAGGTATTAAGAGAGATTTTTTTCAAAATTGTTCCGAAAGAGTCAATGTTGAAAACAATTTTAAAAAGCCCCACATACCTTATAACTTTAAATCAGTGGTTCTCAACCTGTGGGTCGGGACCCCATTTGGGATCGAACAACCATTCCACGGGGGTCGCCAAACAATGCAGTCCGCCATTTTTCCCCCCTTTTCCTTAGCTGTGCTACTCCCTTTTATTCTATTGGCTTTCAAAAGCCAATAGAATAGACTCTCTTGAATAGAGTCTAATTCGATTGGCTTTCAAAAGCCAATAGGAATTGTCCAGGTTGTCTCTGCCCTGCTGAGCCCGCCAAAAGTCCCATTCTGCAAACGGTGCTGCACCAGTTGAGTAGTCCTCGACTTACGACCGGTTGAGTAGTCCTCAACTTATGACCGGTTGGGGGTCGCGGCATTAAAAAGGTTGAGAACCACTGCTTTAAATTAATGTAACAAGTGGTGACACAGTATATGAGAACCACAAAAATCATTTAGCATTCAAGCCCTTGTATTAATTAAATATGCTTTATAGTTCTCCAATTGTTAAGAAACTATACAGTATTGCATAGATTAAACAAAACTTCCAAACACCTAGCACAGGGGCGGGGACCCTTGGCTCTTTTAATGACTTGTGGACTTCAACTCACAGAATTCCTGAGCCAGCCATGGAGTTGAAGTCCACAAATCATAAAAGAGCCAAGGGTCCCCGCCCCTGACCTAGCATGTCATGTGAACTGGCCCAGGTTGCCACCATCACAGCATCCCACAGTTATATTATCTGATTTATGATCTCTTTGGCCAGCTTCCCACAAACCAAGTCAGTGGGAGAGCTGGCCGGAAGTCAAAAGTCATACTTATGTGAAGTCCTCACTTAACAACAGAAACTGGGAACTGCCAGGACTATCGGCACTAAGCAGCACAGATCACCAAAACACCATGTTTTATGACCACATTGCTTAGTGATAGAATTCCAGTCCCAATTACCATTTTCAAGTAAGGACATTTGCGACCCACTATGAACTGCAAGTAGAGTTTTTCGTGGTTATTATTGTATTTTTCATAGAAATATACGTATATCGTGGTTAAAAAGACTCAACTCTGTCTGAAAAAACCGCGTTCGAAGAGGCGACTAATTTATGAAGTTGGTTTTTAACGTTCCCACTTACCCTCTTTGGTCCGCTAAATATTTTCCGTGTATTTTCTTTAGACTTATCGCCTTGTGAATTGGTAGATTTCTTATTGCTTTCTGGAACGCTGGATGGATCGTCTGCAAACTCCATCAGCTCTACAGGAATAAAGGTTATAGGGTTAACAAATAACAAATCTCGTTTTAAAAAAAAGGAGTCTGTTTCAAAGGTGAAGAGATTAAACACAGACTAAGAGCATTTGCTTGAAAAAGGAGGGTACTAAACAAACAAACAAACAAGTGGCAGCAAAATTTACCTATTTTATCTCCAGGAAAACGTACAGCCACCTTCTTTTGACTTAAAACCACAGTAGCTTCAGGCTCTTCTATATTTTAAAAGAGGAACAGAGGACTCCGAATTACAACTACGGTTGAGTACGTAACATTCCCCACAACGATAAAAATAAAAAAGGGGAGGAAGAGTTGTGAAAGTGAGTCACGAAAAAAAGGATCCACTGAGAGAGTGGGGGTGGGAGGAGGGAAGACATGAAATTACAACCACGGAGGAAATAAACTACTCCCTCTTCTTGTTATTTTTAAAGAAAGCCGGAACCTTGCTTTCGAAGTAGCGGGTTTGGTGAGGCTAAGAGGAACTTCGCAAATCAGCCTACGGAGAAATAAAATGCTAGCTAATCGCCAATGTCCATGCCACCCACAGCAGCTCTATAAAGCAATTTTCAATTTGTAATAGTAGAAAGCATTCTGATTTGTTGTTGTTGTTAATTGCGAAGTCGTGTCCGACCCATCGCGACCCCATGGACAACGTTCCTCCAGGTCTTCCTGTCCTCTACCATCTTCTGGAGTCCATTTAAGTTCTAATTTAGCATTAGCCAAATGCTGAGTGCAGTTAACATCCAGCTTCAGTTTGGCTTCATGGACAATAAAAGCTGACCACACGAAGGAAAAACACAATAGAAGCTGTCACCATAGGCATGGCTATATATACAAGCAGCAGAACGGACATCTATCTACCCCCCAAAATCTAATGCTAAATACATTAATGCTCTTTCCTCAGCTGGTGAAAACATCAGAATATCCAGTGTAACTCTCTATAATGTATTAATCAATGAAACAACTGGACTTCTATGGAAGCAAAAGGCAATGATAAAATAACAACATAAAACTTAAAAATTAACGTTAACTCTCAAACCCCCAGTAAAAACCTCCTAATGAACTGAAAATATGTAGTCTTGTTCCATATAATAACGCTGATTTATTAATTGCTACCGTGTTTTCCCTGAAAGTAAGGCCTACCCCGAAAATAACTCCTAGCTTGATTTTGGGGGATGGGCCTAATATAAGTCCTACCCCCAAAAGAAGCCCTAGTTTGAGGGCAAGGTACACACCTAAAAGTCAAGCTAGGGCAGAGGTGGGGGTGTGGAGCTGCCCCACGCGCCCTGCACTGACTTACCTGGCAGCCAGGCCTCTCTTCGCCGGCCCACTTCTTCTGAGGCATCTTCCGCAGCCAGGCCTGCATTTCTCAGTCACAGGCCTTTCCGAAGGCTCCTGCAGCCGAGAACGGAGCTATGGATTCAATCTATAGCTCAGTTCTGTAAGGCCACTGCAGCCGAGAACCAAGCTATGGATTAAATCCATAGTTCGGTTCTGTAAGGCCACTGCAGCCGAGAACCAAGCTATGGATTAAATCCATAGTTCGGTTCTGTAAGGCCACTGCAGCCGAGAACCAAGCTATGGATTGAATCCATAGTTCGCTTCTGTAAAGCCACTGCAGCCGAGAACCAAGCTAGGGATTCAATATATAGCTCAGTTCTGTAAGGCCACTGCAGCCGAGAATCGAGCTATGTTCTGTAAGGCCACTGCAACTGAGAACCAAACTATGGATTGAATCCATAGCTCAGTTCTGTAAGGCCTCTCTGCAGCCGAGAACCAAGCTATGGATTCAATCTATAGCTCAGTTCTGCAAGGCCACTGCAGCCGAAAACCGAGCTATGTTCTATAAGGCCACTGCAGCTGAGAACCAAGCTATGGATTGAATCCATAGCTTGGTTCTGTAAGGCCTCTGCAGCCGAGAACCAAGCTACAGATTCAATCTATAGCTCAGTTCTGTAAGGCCACTGCAACCGAGAACCGAGCTATGTTTTGTAAGGCCTCTGCAGCTGAGAACCAAGCTATGGATTCAAAGCATTCTGCAGCCGAGAACCAAGCTATGGATTCAATCCATAGCTCGGTACTCAGCTTCATAGGCCTTCTGGAAAGACCTGACAGTGAAATGCAGGCCGGAATGCAACTACAGAATGAAGCTGCTCCTTCGGCCCCAGAAGAAGTGGACCGGTTGGACGAGGCTGTTGGTGCCGGAGGTGAGTAAGACATCCCCCCAAAATAAGACCTGGTGCCTCTTTTGGAGGCCAAAAAAAAAAAAAGACCCGGTCTTATTTTCGGGAAAACCTGGTACATAGGGAGGGGTTTAACTGCAAACCCTCCCCCTCAAATATAGATGAGGATTTGAAGCAGTGGTCACCAAGATGCATCGATAAGTATTTTTTTTTACTTCCCAATAGAAAATGACTCTACTTTTAACATTTAATGCATTCATATTTTTGATTATGCAGCTTTTTAAAAGGCATGTGCTTCTTCCCAGTAATCTGCCTCTTAATAGCTTCCATCCTTTTCCAAAACCCCACTTTGCACGCAGGAAATTAGAAGCAGGAACTATTCGTGTTTGCTAAAATGTTTTAACTTGAAAACAGCCTTACCAAGATAGTGTCACAGGGCTGGGATTTGAGTTCGCCCCACACTGTACCCTCTAACCCTCCTGCCGTGAATTCAGAAATATTGTTTTGAAATGGAAGGACAAATAACATTTACAGGCAAACCTTTCCATCTGGAGGTTTTAAGATTAAGAAGGGTATGTCTCTTTAAAAGCAGAAATTATGATACACATGTGCAAGTACAGCTACCTCTATTGGTATAATCACTGAAAGTTCATAACCAATAAATTAAATTAGTCAGATGAGAACTAGAATGTTATGCTAATTACTAGACCCTATTTGAAACTTCATAATTATAAATATATTTGTACCTAAAGCACGGATCCCTTACTAACAGTCCCTCCTTCCCTGTAACTAAAGAAAAAGGCCACCACTTACACAGAGACATATTTCATAAACTAATTGCAATACCAAAGTGCTATTAAGCTGAACAGCAAAGCAGTATTTCTTTTTAAAGCAATTCCTGTGTTTAATAATAGAGAAGGCAAACCAAGAAGGCAATGAGATGGCTGTTGGGGGGGGGGGAGAATCCAGCTATAACAGCAATTTGACAGTGGCACCAAGAGCCAGATATTGTACTAGATTCTTCTTCACTGGATATGTTCAAACGGATGCTGGACATTTAAAAAAAAAAGAAAGATGTAATATGCATAAAGAAGCAAAGTGGGGAACAAACATATTGGGGAGGAGATGGAAGTGAGCAAACACCAAGAGAGAATGCATGTAATATAAATTAAAACAATATAAATGAAAGCGATAAACGAACAGATTAAAGAGGAGATTATGACAAATATCAAGCATCATCGGTCTCTGGAGGGTGAAATATGTAACCAGACTATTCAAATTGCTCAAATTTAATTTAAAGCCACCAACTTCTAACAAGAGCAATGGCCAGGATTTTTTCCCACCTTTTTTCTGCTCCCAACATTAACAAGGGTTGAGCTCTAATGGGCTAAAGGGAGATGAAGGGAAATGTGATTACTAGACTTGTTGGAAACTGATTTAAAAAAAAAATAAGGGACTAATTGGACTAATAATTAGGATTTAGATTTATAAGGGAAATGGACATTAAATATTAGGAATCACTTTTGAACTATTGTTTAGCCCAGAAAATATAGATGATAGATGTGAGACAATAAAGGTTGCTCTATTAGTAAAGTGTGATGTACTAGGATGAGAAATAGAAAATGTTTATGAAATGAAATAAGAATATATTTAAGTAAGTAATGTGTGTTTTTTAGATATCATAACTTTTGTGTAGTGAAATAAAGGACATCTGGGTTACCAGAAATTTGAATATTATGGATGTTAAAGGTTACATTGGAATACTGTAATAAAAAATTACAAATTAGGTAAAATTTAGAAACAGGATAAGGATATGTATAAGCAAAAAATAGATTGATAAATGCTTTAACTGAGCTTGCTATGATTAGAAATTTACTAGTTTATCTATGTTGTATCAAATGTTAAGGGAAACAGAGAAGGCATTTTTGATAATGTAACCTGAGATAGGTACTAAAAAATTTGTTACTGAACTACTGATTACCCAGTCGCCACGTTGCTTTCTAAATACTTGGTTGTTAAATTGGAAAACTAATAAAATTTGTTATAAAAAAAAACCCAAGGGTTGAGCTGAAAGACTGCAAAGGAACAAGTCTGTTTTCCAAGACGAAGTAAACTTGTTAGTGAGGATAGACTGAATTTCTTTCAACCCATAATTCAAAAGACTAATTTTTCCCATGGCCTACTAAGGAAGCCTCACTTCGTTCCAGCCAGAAAGGTCTGTTCAGCATAGAGCAAAACATGTGGAATCGTAGTTTTGAGTACTGCAGAGAAAAAAAAGTCTTTGCTCCAAGTTACTTATTACACCCCAACCAGAGCGAGAGGGCTTATGGACACCGATGGCTATTTTTTGGGGTCTTGTCGTTATCAAAGGATGAAACACTGAAAAGCAGATTCCTAAATATTTGCAAACCTCACGCAAGATGCTGCTGATTTCTCCAATAGGGCAGCAGTTGGCAAGATGGGGAATAAGACTACCTTCGCTTCGTGGAATTAAGGTGCAACTGATTTAATATGGCAGAATATCGCTTGAAGTCTGAAGCCTCTGACAATCACTAATCTAGAATGACAGCAGCGTCAACACAAAGAGGCACGCAAGAGGATTATGCTCTGGGGCAGAACCTGTATCAGACAATTAATATAAATATTTCATAAAAGGTGGGGGGACAAGGATGCACCCATTTGACTCCCTTTCAAGTGGGAATAAATGGAGAAAGACTTTCACTTGCAGCACCTGTAGGTAATAAAAGTGTTTTTGCAGAATATAATAGAGCTGGGAGTAAAAAAAAATAATCTATTAATTCAGTTGCCCGTTTCTTTAACACTTCTCTGGAGGAACTGATAGCATCTGTTGTGAATGCCTTTAGTCGGATTCCTGCAGGAAGCATACTGGCTGGGGAATTCTGGGAATTAAAGTCCACGTATCTTTAATTTGCGAAGTTTGAGAAAACACTAGTTCAAATGAATACCTCTCATTTCTATTACTTTGTAGCACTTCCTTCCAAAGATAAGAAGCAGTTTAATGACAATACTCACTCAGATATTCTATAGTCATTTGAATGGTAAGCTCTCACAGCCAACCAAGTTTGTGTTTTAATTACTGGTTTTTACGATTGCCTTTTTAAATGTACGCTGCCCAGGGTCTCAAATCGTTATAAATACAAAGTAAATAAAATGTATGAACTGGCAACGAAGCTAAACACAATTTTCACTGAAGAAATCCAACCAATCTCAATAGCTATAAGATCATAAAACATTATTTATTCTGGCACATTACCAAGAGCTATCTGATTGCAATTAGATTCTTTCTCGTTCTTTTTAAGCTAATTTAGAGACCCAATTAAGTATCAGGGGAGTTTCTTTTGAAATATATGTGAAGAAGAGATATTGTCATTGTCATAAGAGAATTCTGTAATTTAAAAAAATATTTATTTTTAACTGAAGAATTTCTTTACTGCCTAGTTCAAATGTAAATCTCTCCTACTTTGTGACTAAATTATTTCTATCGTGGCTAAATCATCCTTTTTCTTTCTTTCTCTTTCTTTCTTTCTTTCTTTCTTTCTTTCTTTCTTTCTTTCTTTCTTTCTTTCTTTCTTATTTATTTATCTTTAAAAATTAACCAGTCTATTATTGACACAGTTCAAACATTTTTACTTAGTTTCACTTCCTTGATAAGCTGATGGAAGTTTCTTTTTCTTTTTTGTAGATAGTGCATCTTTTCAGTAGATGAAATAAATTTACAACATGTACTTCTACATTATTTCACAAGCAATTCATTGTATCACTTTAACAAATGTCCATAAATAAAGACTCTGGAATCGAATATATGTTACCTGCTATTGTTTAGACCCAATAATTACCTTTATAAAGTTTCAAGTTACTTCTCCTCTCTATCAAACATTAAGCTGTATAAAATACAGGATAGGTAAGCAAGCCTTTTGTTAGAAATTCTTCAGGTTGTTTTGGTTTTCCATTACCTGAATCACTTCAACACTTACATTGAATCCAAGGACGCTTTACTATTCCTTTTTCGTTATACCTTTTGTGTTGGAAGAGTTCTAAAATAATATAATTCTGCATATTAAAAATTAGTGTCAGTCTGTACTTTTAACATTAGGCATGTTAGAATGGAAAAGTGTTTCTAAGGATCCAGACATTCAGTTTTTCTACAAAGTTTTGATCTCCAGAGATGGATAAACACGGGCAGATGAGAATTTGCTCAGCTCTTTTTAAAGACCTCTTGATATGGCAAAGTCTCCATGTTATTTATTAGGATGTATAATTATAACTGAATTAGTGTCAAGAAGCAGAAACTTTAGAAAAATAAATAAATTAGCCTACTGGACCGTGTGAGCAAATGTCACCTTGCAAGGTTGACGCTGCTAAAGTAAATTAGATTTATATTACAATTTATCACAGTATTCAGACTCTCAAGGAGAGAAGCAACCTAGAACTAAGGAGAAACTTCCTGACAGTGAGAACAATTGACCAGTGGAACAACCTGCCTCCAGAAGCGATGAATGCTCCAACACTGGACGTTTTTAAGAAGAGACTGGGCAGCCATTGGTCCGAAATGGTATAGGGTTTCCTGCCTGAGTAGGGGGTTGGACTAGATGACCTCCAAGGTCCCTTCCAACTTTATTATTGTGGATCATTGCAAAGTCAGCCAGATGTTCAGACTGGATTTGGCGTTTTGTCTACCTATCAAGTCCTTACCCAGGACCTGGGATAGGCAGATGTGGATTATTATTATTATCATTATCGATCATCGCACAGTCAGCCAGATGTTCAGACTGGATTTGGCATTTTGTCTACCTATCGAGTCCTTACCCAGGACCTGGGATAGGCAGATGTGGATGTTTGATGGTATTACAGATATCGTCGCAGGATGGAAGCAGTTCCTAATAAGGCCGCCTTTTGCAATTGACTAATAGCGAATTTGTCAATGCCAATGGTGTTCAAGTGGTGCTCCAGTTGTTTTGGGATTGCACCCAAGGAGCCTATGACTATTGGTACTACCCTTGCTTGCTTTTGCCACAGTCTTTCTATTTCTATTTGTAGGTCTTTGTATTTTGTTATCTTCTCCAGTTCTTTCTCGTCTATTCTGCTGTCTCCAGGCACTGCCACGTCCACTATCCAGACTTTTTTGTCTTTCTTATCGACAATTGTTAAGTCTGGGGTGTTATGTTGCAGGTGCTTGTCTGTTTGAATTCTGAAGTCCCAGAGCAGTTTAATTTTATCATTTTCTATGACTTTCTCTATTTTATGATCCCACCAGTTTTTGCTTACAGGCAAATGATATTATTATTATCATCATTATTATTATTATTATTATCCTCCTCCCAATTTAATGAGGAAAATTCCATCTGTCTTCAGTAATCATTTATTCCCCTCCGGATTTTCATCAAAAGACACAGCTCAAAATTGGCTGCTTCTTCCCTTTAATGATTTAGTTCCCTCTACCTGAGCGAGCAGACCACGTCTGTTAAACGTCCCGCGGGGATGCCGACTTACCTGAATTGGAACTCGACTGGCTATCCTGAGAGTAGTAGCCCTCGTTTCCATCCGAAGTGGAATGCTGCGAAGACGCGGCGGTGGCGGCCGTTTTGCTTCTCTTCTTATTGACCTTCCGCTCCAGCAGCTGTTCCTCGTCGTCGTCCTCGCTCTCGCTTAAGTCGTCGAAACCAAAGTATTTAATTTTGTAATTGGAGCTCCCGGAGGCTCTGGACCCACCTTCGCCGCCCCCGCCTTCGTCGTTGTCGTCGAAGCCGAAAAATTCCAACTTGACGTCTTTCTTGGATTTGGTGTTGCTGGGTCGGAAGCGGGCGGCAGTCTTGGCCGTGGCCAGGTCGGCCTTCTTCCTCAGGCGGCCCGCTTCCCCCAGGTCGGCGGGCGTGGCCGTGGCGAATTCGTCCATGCGGTCCATGGTGTCTTGGATGGTGACGTTGCAAACCGATAAGCAGGACGGGTGGAGAACGGTGTAGTCTCTAGTCCTTCCCGCCCCTTTAAAACTGGTCCCGCTACTTAAAGCAACCTTCCTGACGGGATTCACACCGTCGGCGCCCGAATCGCTGTTTGCTTTGGCGAGAGGCTGGAGAGTGCCATCCAGCAGCTTATCAAAGTTTGACATTCCCTGCAGTTTTGTTTTGTTTGATCGACAGTATGTCCGACAGTTACTCGGCCTGAGAACAGCTTGCATCAGTTCCTCGTGAATGGCTTCCTTGGAGCCCTCCGTCTCTTCCTTGACCAGCCCTTCGCCCTTGTTTTTAATCTCCGAAAGGGGCTCGTCGTCAAATCCCAGCATGTATTCTCCTCTTTGGCCGTCCTCGTTCTCGTCTTCCCAATCATATAAGCCAGTTATTAGCGACTCTCTGGTGTGGGCTACGTCCGAGGGGGAGTCTCTGGGGCCAATATGGCAATCCCAAGGGTCATGCGATTCCTTGATTTCAATGTTGTACCCGGAAATTTCTGCTATTTGAGCACTCACGCTATTGTCTTCGGCGTTCTTGTAGAGGAAATGGCTGTTCTCGTTGTCCTCGGGATAACTCAGTTCAGTATCTAGAAAATAAAAACCAGTGAAAAGATATATATATATATATATATATATATATATATATATATATATATATATATATATATACATACACCTGATACTACAAATTGGAATGAGTTTAATAGCATTTTCAATACTTGTGAACTAAAGTAAGAATGTAACTATCCGAATAATATGTGCATTTTAGATACGATAATTATTCTGTAATGAAAATTAGGGAAATTTGGGTTACCGTATATTCCGGCGTGTAAGACGACTTCTGAGAGCGTTGAAACAGGCGCCGAACTCAGGGATCGTCTTATACGCCGAGTCGTCTTATACGCCGGAAATAATGGTAGTTTCCAGCATATAAGAAGGCTTTCTAGGCATGCGACTCAGCGTCGATCGTCTTATACACTGGAAATAACGTAGTTTCCGGCGTATAAGATGACTTTCTAGGCATGCGACTCGGCGTTGATCATCTTATACGCTGGAAATACCGGTAGTTTCCGGCATATAAAACGACTTTCTAGGCATGCGACTCGGCATCGATCGTCTTGCGACTCGGCGTCGAAGTCGGGGGTCGTCTTATACGCCGGGTCGCCCTATACGCTGGAATATACGGTACCCGAAGTTTAAATATTATGGTTATCAAAGGCTAAATTGAAATACGGTAATTGGAATTCGGTGAAACTCAAAAACAGGACTTGTATAAGTAAAATTATATGTATAAGTAAAATTATATTGACAAATGTATTGACTGAATGAGCTATTAACTAGAAACGTATTAATTTGAATGTGATACAATAATTAAGGGAAATAGAGAAGGAACTTTTAATGACACAACCTGAGATATGCACGAAAGATTTTGTTATTGGACAACTGATTAGCCAATCACCATGCTGCTTCCTAAACACTTGGATGTAAAATTGAAAAATTAATAAAACTTGTTATTTTAAAAAAAGGAATATATATATATATAGTTCAATGATGCAATCTTCGATCTCCGGGAAGAGTATACTCCAGTTATTTATTGTTAAAACCACATTTAAAACAATAAAAACAGTTATATACAAAAATTAAAACAACTTAGCTTTCGCTGGTCCTCTGCCAGCGTCCTCAGAGTGGGGCTTAGGGGGTGGGAAGTTCTTTTGTGTGTATATATGTGTATATATATATATATATATATACACACACACACACACACACACACACACACAATACACACACACACACACACACACCTGATACTACAAATTGAAATGAGTTTAATAGCATTTTCATCAACACATTATAAAAGCGGATGTTTTCAGTAAATAACAGCTTCCCTATTTTGGCAAGTTTGACTTAAATGCTAAGCATCTGGTTTAGAGCGTTTTCTGTAAACAAGATACGGCGTGAAGGACGCCGTCACATCAAGGAAGACAAACACTTCTGCCCAAGCAAGAGGGAAATTTCAGGAAAAAATACCTCCATAAAATGATATTTTTTGTATGAGAGCCAGCAAGGGTTCGTGTTGCACTGGGAACAGAGGCCAGTCAATCACCCTCTCTCAGCTCAGCCTACCACGCAGGATAGTGTTTGTGGGAGACTGTGACACTGTTCTTAGATACCAGCAGTGTTCCAATATCTCAGGGGCTGCCCCAAAGAAGAGGGAGTCAAGCTATTCTCCAAAGCGCCTGAAGGCAGGACAAGAAGCAACGGATGGAAACTAACCAAGGAGAGAAGCAACCTAGAAGTAAGGAGAAACTTCCTGACAGTGAGTATAATCATTCAGAGGAACAGCTCCCCTCCAGAATTTGGGGTGCTTCCTCACTGGAGCCTTTTAAGAAGAAAATACCATTTGTCCAGAATGGTACAGGGTCTTCAGCTTGAGCAGGGGGTAGACTAAAAGACCTCCAAGGTCCATTCCAACTCTGGTATTCTGTTATACAAGTACATACCAAATAAAAGTACTGCTATTGGCAATGTACCTTTGTCAGCCATTTTAGATCTTACTGAAAGCAACACAGGCAGTCCAAGATTTACGACTGACACTGATCCCGGAATTACGGTCGTAAAGTTGTGGCTGGTTGTTAAGCAGGTCACCCTGGGATCGTGACCAATTTTACAACCTGAGTGACTGGCCCAAGTCAGCCAGACAGCTTTCATGTCTACGGGGGCACTAGAATTCACGTCTCCTGGTTCCTAGTCTGGCGCCTTAACCACTAGACCAGTGGTTCTCAACCTGTGGGTCGGGACCCCATTTGGGGTCGAACGACCTTTTCACGGGGGTCGCCAAACAATGCAGTCCGCCATTTTTTTCCCCCTTTTCCTTAGCTGTGCTACTCCCTTTTATTCTATTGGCTTTTGAAAGCCAATAGAATAGACTCTCTTGAATAGTCCAGGCTGTCTCTGCCCTGCTGAGCCCGCCAAAAGTCCCATTCTGCAAACGGTGCTGCACCAGTTGAGTAGTCCTCGACTTACGACCAGTTGAGTAGTCCTCGACTTACGACCGGTTGGGGGTCGCGGCATTAAAAAGGTTGAGAACCACTGCACTAGACCAAACGGGTTCTCATATACTGTGATATATTGGAATCAAAGAGCTATTTTATCCATTTGCTTATTTCTAAGATGAATTAACTACTGTATAGCTAAAGCCGCTTTCAGGGTGATGCACCATAAAACCACAAATTAATTAAGGGAGGTGACACATTGGGAAATAAATTAGAACCAGAAGAAAAGGGGGGGGAGACTACTGAATGAGCAGAAATATCATCTATTCATATACATACAGCTGACTGTGTCGTTTTTTGGAGAGCCAATAGCGGCATACATTTTTTCTTCCTTTTCACAAGGTTTCCTTTTGAATGATAGGGAAACTTAAGAATGATATGTGAGTCATTTCAAGAGTGGTTAAAACCTGAAGCAACTCTACTTGTATAAATATTAGCTTGGAAATCATTTGCAAATTAGAATTGCTAGCCCAGGGGTGGGCAACCCAAAACACTCAAAGAGCCACTTGGACCTGTTTTCCCACCGAAAACAAAACACTGGGAGCCGCAAAACCCTTTTGGTATCTAAAATGAAGCTAACACTGCATATATCCTTTTTTACCTTTATTATAGGTTGTGTGTGTGTATGTGTATACACACACACCTATACATACACACACACACACATCATAAAGATAAAAAAGGATATATGCAGTGTTAGCTTCATTTTAGATGTCAAAAGAGTCTCTCTCTCTTTCTCTCTCATGGGGGTGCTGATGGCAGAAAGCTCGCCCACTTCATCGCCCTCCCTCCCCGAACCTCCGGCACTCCACCTGCCGCTTTCTTTGGCCTGGCCGCCCCCACCTGGCCACCCTTCCTGCTGCCACCCAGCATGGACACCTTGTGGCTACAGGGGCTGGCCTGGCACAGGAACGGCACGCGCCCTGCCTGCCCGGGTACCATACCTGGTCAGCCACCACGCTCTCGCCACTGTGTTGCTTCTCCACCCCATGCACAGGCCCTGCCCCACCCGCGTGTGCTCGCGGCCCACTGGTACCAGCCAAAAGCCCTCCCCAAAAGTAAATCCTAGTGCTTACTTCAGAGCCCCTCCAAAAAGTAAGACTGTGTCTTACTTTCGCGGAAACACGGTATCATTCATTCATTCATTTATTTATTTATACATACATACACACATACTTGTTTTCTGAGGTTTTCGTGGGTGTTTGTATGTAGGTCTTTGGTTATTCGGGTTTTCTCACGCATAAAATTGGAAGTGTCTTGGCGACGTTTCGACGAAGTCCCATTCGTCATCTTCAGGCTGGTGTTTTCAGCTTCGTGCTTCGAGGAGCACGAAGCTGAAAACACCAGCCTGAAGATGACGAATGGGACTTCGTCGAAACGTCACCAAGACACTTCCAATTTTACGCGGGAGAAAACCCGAACAACCAAAGACCTACATACACACATACATACATACATACATACGCTAAATTTTTGGGAGACTGGGATAGCTATTTCGAGCTAATTAGCTCAAAAAGATTTCTTCCTCCCGTATTTGGGCCGACAGGGTGTATCAAAAAAACACTCAAGACATACATACATTCCATTTCTATAGCCACCCATCTCAGGCGATGACTCTGGGTGGCTTGCAACTCAAAAAACACGTTACAGTTAAAATACCAGAAATGTTTTTACAATATTAGCTGCGTTCGCCATTGTAATCTCCATCTCCCAAATTTGAAAATTCTTGCTAAAGTTCTTAATTCCATTTGGAGGGGGGGGGGAGGGGCTTAAATTACAGTAAATCCTTTGATATCTTTTGCAAACTTGAGTTACTTCTCTTCTCATTTATAACTCCGAATCACTGATGAGAAGGTATAAATATTGGGCCCAGTTTCCTAACATTTGTCTTGATTCACCTCGGTTTTGGAAGAAACTAAAGGCAATTTCGGCACTACAAACTAACTTATTTACATGTTGCACTGATAAGGCTAATCTTTGTATCAGAAGAGAAACATTAAGGAAACACCTCCCCAACTACAACTCAAGACCACGTGCACCAAAGCACTATCAAAAAAGACAGAAGGCGTAATAAAAGTCATGTTGAGGCTTTTGAACATTAGATATCTCCAGACAAGAGCAGAAAACCTGAGCTTCATGGAAAAAAAATTTTTTTAAGAGGAGTATCTGCCAGGGATAGATAAAATGATGTATCTGGCAACAGTGGCCATCAATAGAGGACAGCATTGCAAATTATAACAGCTGCATCATACGCACGGTAGTAGAATTTGCACATCGCCCTAAACCACAGTTTAGTGCAGCTTAGATAAGCCACAAATCCCCTATTGTCCATTTTCTTCAGCAGTTTTTGCTTCTTCCTTTTCTGATTAAATTACAGGCCATTATTTTGTTAGATGTTAGCTACGGTTCATCCTAAAAGCATTAATAATTTTTCAACTTGTTTGGATTAACAAGCTAAATAACTGTATTGTTAATGTGTTAATCGTTTTATCAGTACAGACACTGACCATAATTTAAGCTTTTAATCTCCCAGCCACACAGAAGAGAGAGGCAGCCAAGCATTAAGTTCACTGTGGCTCATTTGGGTGGCAACAAACTATGGTCCAATCTGACAGACAGATACCTGCAATCTGATGCTCAAGCAAAATGCCTTTAAAACTCTTACAAAAAGTGCGGTAGAGAAAATCCAATAAAGAAAAAAAAATAAAAAAATTAGCACTCCCAACAGCATTACGTCTGCTAGCTGATGTGCAATTTGATGAGGACACAAATTTTGTTTTAAAATGACTCCGTTTCTAGGACCTAGAAAGAAACCAAAACAATTTCTTCACTTGTAGCTGTGAAATACCAAACCTGAACTTTGCTTAATTTTATAAATATAGGTATATGCTACTATAATTTGACTATATGTGCAGGCACATGCCTGGTGAATGAAGAGTTGTTATTTTACTAAGGATTTCAGGAATCCACATGACTATTACTCTGTGGGATTTCACCTGAGTAAGTAAACACCATATGTTTTTCTTTCAATTCTTAAGCAGGTGGATTTCACTAATGAATAGTATTATTACCCTATGATTTTCACTCGGAAGCTTGAGTTCTATTAAAACCTTCAATTTTGCATCCATTTTTAAGGCTCAGTATTTTCAGAAATACCCCCCCACACACACACACAAATGTTTGTCCGTGTGTGTATACATGGATAGACACAGAGTTCTACAATAACATTTCATATGTAATTTAAAACAGTTGGACATTATAGCAAGAGAACAAAACATGCCTCTTTTTTTTCTACTTATTTCTGCATTAACTTACTTTTATTCACAGGTGATATTTACATGTTTTAGCACTTGTTACATTCCTATTCTACCACATGGGTAGAAAAGTACTCACTTTCAAGACAGAGCAGAAGGCCATTACAATTACATTTCTATTCTACTTCCAATAGGCACAGTTCTTTTTAAGACAACGCCTTCAGTTATTAACACACTACTTAAACAGAGATAGTAAGTAAGTGAATTTTAACTATTCCAAAAACTGAAAAGTTGAAAGCCATTAAGTGGTAATCAGGTACACCCTACAGTTTTACAAAGACAGCTTAAGGTTACCAAAAAGCTTTGGATTTGTTGAAAATGTCATATACCGTAAATGTCAATAGTTAGAGGAGTTGTTAGCATACGAATGCAATGAAGTTTGAGGAAGGTATTTGTAGATGCAAACTGCCCCAGTAAACAGAATAGGAAGTGGATTAAAGCATTATAAAAAAGATAGCACTTCTGGTGACTTCCTGAAATGAATTACCCAACAGGAGACTTGGATCCAAATAGATCTATAGCAATATCATTGTTTCAAAGAAATCACCACCACCACCACCACCACCACCACCCCCTATGCAAATCATTGTTAAGTGATGGTTCCAAAAACAGGCCCTGTGCCAGAGATTGTAGGTTTTAATGGCTTGGATTAGCAAAATGTCTGGGAAAAGAATAACAATAGGTAGCTAAAATACCATTTAAAGGTACTGTGGCTACCGTTGTTCCGTATGTATTATTCAAAGAAATCTTCCTTTAGGACAGCTATTCTCAACCTTTCTAATGCCGTGACCCCATAATACAGTTCCCCATGTTGTGGTGACCCCCAAGTGGGTGTGGCCACCAATAAGAGGGAGTAGGACAGCTAAGGAAAAAGGGAAAAAATGGCGGACAGCATGGTTTGGCGACCCCCGTGAAATGGTCGTTCGACCCCAAATGGGGTCCCGACCCACAGGTTGAGAACCACTGCTTTAGGAGATTTTTTTTTTTTAAATGCCCATTTCAGACCAATGAACCTGCAATGTTCCTCTATACCAGTGTTTCTCAACCTTGACAATTTTAAGGCGTGTGGACTTCAACTCCCAGAATTCCACAGCCAGCATTGCTGGCTGTGGAATTCTGGGAGTTGAAGTCCACACGCCTTAAAATTGTCAAGGTTGAGAAACACTGCTCTATACAAACTAATACAACAGACTTGTGTGTAAGTATACAAACCTTGTTGTTCCAGGAAGTAAAAAATGTCAGAGATGCCTATAACATTTTGTTTCTCATCCAGACCCTGCCAATCCAGCCATTTTGGTACCTTTTCTAGTTCCTCCTTCTCACCAAAAGCCAGCTTGGCGTCATCCAGAGGAGAAACAGAACACTCTTGACATTCGCTAGAATACTTTGTTCCCAGAGTAGTTTTGTAACATCCCTTCACTAACGAATGGCATTCTTCAGTATACATTTTAAATGACAGATCCAAGTTCAGTGCCGGAAGCACAAGCATTTTAAACAGTACAAGATGTTTCACGCTGGAAGATCTTGCTGATTCTGTAATACTGCTATGATAGGGAATAGATTGTGTTGAGCATGTGGCCTTTTATATGATTTTTTTTTTAATTTGTATTCACTTAAGGATTAAAGGGAGGTTGATACTGATGCTTCTTTTTTTTTTTTTTTACAATTTTTACATTTGGTTGTTTAGAAAACAGATCAGGGAGGCTAATTTGCCAAACATTGCAAAGGTTCTCATCTGCTGATAGTAAACTTCAGAATATGAGACGTGTCTCAAACTGCCTTCTTTCCCACTACCATTGCCAAGCACAGGCCAAATGAACGATTCAAATCAGAAAACTAGCATTCAGCAAAGACAATGACTAGCTTCTATTAGCTAGCTTGCCACACCGGCTTAACGGTCAACGTTGGGCACCAACTACACGACGCAAAGCGTACGTGAAGTATTAATACCACTCTTCAATGCCTTGGTAAGGCCACACTTGGAATACTGCATCCAGTTTTGGTCACCACGATGTAAAAAGGATGTTGAGACTCTAGAAAGAGTACAGAGAAGAGCAACAAAGATGATTAGGGGACTGGAGGCTAAAACATATAAGGAACGGCTGCTGGAATTGGCTATGTCTAGTTTAACGAAGAGAAGGACGAGGGGGGACATGATAGCAGTATTCCAATATCTCAGGGGCTGCCATAAAGAAGAAACTATTTTCCAAAGCACCTGAAGGCAGAAACAAGAAGCAACGGGTGGAAACTAATCAAGGAGAGAAGCAACCTAGAACTAAGGAGAAACTTCCTGACAGTGAGAACAATTAATCAGTGGAACAGCCTGCCTCCAGAAGCAGTAAATGCTCCAACACTGGAAGTTTTTAAGAAGAGACTGGACAGCCATTTGTCCGAAATTGTGTAGGGTTTCCTGCCTGAGCAGGGGGTTGGACTAGATGACCTCCAAGGTCCCTTCCAACTTTACTACTACTACTACTACTACTACTACTATTATTATTATTATTATTATTACCTGAAGCTAGAGGGTTAGCACTGCTGCTTCTGAAGTCTTCTGCCATGTTTCTGGTCGAATTCTTCTCTTTCAAGTCGTGCGTGGCATTATCAAAAGACACACCTTTGCTGGCCAAAGCGTCTTCACCAAGCGAGGGAGGAAATCGGCTATTAGACTCAAGAACAGAAGGGAAATCTGCAGGCTGGGAAACTTCGACTGACTCCAGCTGAGCGGATCCTTTTGCTTGGGACACGTTCTTGGAAGAAACTGGCAACGATTCTTCATCACTGTCAAATCCAAACGGATCTTCTATTGCTTCCTCTTCGACTTTGGGTTTCTTAGGGATCTCGGAAATATCTGGCTTAAGGTGGGGTCTCTTCTGGCCTAGCTTGGCCATGAAGGTAGTTTCTCCCCATTTCGTACTAAGAGTGGTCCGTTTGTTTGAAAACACCTCGTCAAATTTCGAATTGCCATTACCACCTTTCCTGCTATAGGTCTTCCCGAATCTGGATGTCATTTTGACGCCTGTTTCATATTCTCTGTGGAAAGGGGGGAAAAAAATTGCTTTAAAAGACAATTCTGATTTTCCTTAAAGGAACATTTGCAGAGTTCACATTTTAAAATGGTGAACAAAATCCCTGGCATTTTGAAGCCCCGTTGTTTTTGTTTTTTTTTTAAAAAAAAAACCACTCAAGAGGCGATGAAACCAAACCCAAAATAAAGGCACGGTGGGGTTCTTTACACGTTGCCTGCCCAAACAGAAAACGCCAAATGGTGTTGTGAAGACGTTTGCTTTTCCCCCAAATTGTACGGCATGTGGTATCAGGAAAATATTGCAAATGGGTTTTTTGTCAACCTAAAACCATTTTATCTGTGGCTGAAAACTCTAACCGCTCCCTATGTATAAATCAATATTGCAAGACGAAGAGAAGAAAACAGCTGAAGATGAAAGGAACTGCTCCACATTTTAATGTCTTACAGGTGCAAGTTTTTTATAGTGAATATAAGCTAATGCCATCTGTCAAATGTCATCAACCTTGATACAAAGATTAAAAAAAAATGTCCTCCCTGTCCCCAAACATTGTGGGTGTTAATAAGGAACCTGAGAGTGTTACATAAAGTAAATGACTTCTTCATCCAGCGTATTTTCACAGATAAAAGTAGACAATTCTCATGTCCTACAAAATGAATTAATTCGGCCCATATAGCTAATGTATACTTGAACTTGCAATGTGATCCCAGCGAAGTTTAAGTGGTAAACAAATCCTGTGAATACAGCCTGTATTTTTTTAATACATTCTCACACACAAAAACACTCCAAGTCATTTCCAAAGTATGGTCTAGACCAGAGGTTCCCAACTGGAGATACTCGCACTCCCTGCGGGTGTAAAAAAAATGGGTTTTCAAAATTATAGTGTATGTACATAATTCGTTGCCATCACTCTGAACTTTTGCAAGGGCTGTGAGAATATATCCGAAGCGTTCTAGGGGTGAGGGGTATAGAAAAGGTTGGGAACCGCTGGTCTAGACAATACAGTTATGACTGATTATTGCCAGACTACGAAGAGAATTACACTTTTTTTTTTAACCAGTCTCAACTGAAAAAATTGGCTGTGTATAAAACCCATCCTAAGAATACTCTGAGACCGGTATTTGTCTAAAGAGCACAAACATTAACAAGCTTAACCTAAAGGCATATTTAGATACTTGAATGTTAACTAGATTAGAGTATTTACAATACAGAAGATCCAGTTAGACCACTGGCTTTCTACTTGAAAACGCACCTCCAGTACTTGTTCATTGCACAGCTTTTCTGAATCAAATACTCCAGGTGCATTAAAATACATTGAAGCTTTCTAGATATCAAGGTAGTGGAAACGCAGTGATCTGGAGATGTTTTGCACAAAACAAAATGCTAACAGAACTGACAGGTCTCAGGTAATCTGTGCTTGTATAAGGAACTAACTTTGGCATAAAGGAACACTGGTGGCATTCATCAAAGTATTTTAGTGATGGCTGACAAATGATTTTTCTCACCAAGGAAGTCTACTGTTGGGAGACAAGTTCAAGGGAAGAGAAGAAAAAAAAAAACCAAGAGCGAATCAGAAATTGCTGCCGCAGCCAAGGAATCTACGTACTTTATATGAACTATAAAATGTGGATTAACAACTGGCATTTACATTTCGAAACTAAAAAGCGGGGACAGCTCTGACTCTTTTACCTTTTCCTTCTTCCCAATAAGCTTCGATCATACAATCCGGTCCTGCCCCTGATTGAGATCCAGCGGGCAACTCCAGCGGCTTTTCTTCACCGAATCTAATTCCCTCCAATCCAATCCTGCCCCTGACTGAGATCCAGTTTACCTAGTCCTTCTTCCCAAAAAGACTGGATCCTGTCCCTGACTGAGATCCAGTTTGCAGCTCCAGTGGCTTTCCCTCATTATATCTAATTCTCTCATTCCCCACCCTCCCAGTTTTACATTGGCACCAATAATTTTCAAGAAACCCGAAATCTACCAGGGCAAAATTTCAGTCGGCCTCTGCAGACTTAGCATTAAGGGGGGGGGGGGCAGAGAAGACGAGGGAGAGACAGAGAACACCTTATTATCTTCCTTTTCTCTCCCTACAATTATGTCTAATTAGGCTAGGAAGTTTCACGCTCCCAAGGAGCTCAGCCGGAGCCACAAATTAGACAGGTCTTGTCTGAAATGACTCCCTTACCCACCATTGGGAGAAGCTGGGAGTTAGTTCCTTCCTTCCTTCTCTCCTTCCCTTCCTTCCTTCCCCTTCTCTCCTTCCTTCCCCCTTCCTTCCTCTTCTCTCGCTCCTTCCCTCCTTCCTCTCTTCCCTTCCTTCCTTCCTTCTCTTTCCTTCCTTCTTTCCTTCCCCTTCTCGCTTTCCTTCCTCCTTCCTTCCTTCCCTTCATTCCTTCCCCTTCTCTCCTTCCTTCCCCTTCTCTCCTCCTTCCCCCTTCCTTCCTCTTCTCTCCCTCCTTCCCTTCTTCCTCTCTTCCCTTCCTTCCTTCTATCCTTCCCTTCTCTTTCCTTCCTTCTTTCCTTCCCCTTCTCGCCTTCCTTCCTCCTTCCTTCCTTCCCCTTCTCTCCTTCCTTCCTTCCCCCTTCCTTCCTCTTCTCTCCTTCCTTCCCCCTTCTTCCTCTCTTCCCTTCCTTCTTCTCTTTCCTTCCCCTTCTCGCCTTCCTTCCTCCTTCCTTCCTTCCCCTTCTCTCCTTCCTTCCCCTTCTCTCCTTCCTCCCCCTTCTTCCTCTCTTCCCTCCCTCCCTCCCTTCCTTTCTTACCTACCTACCTACTGTTTTCCTTCGCCATGGATATCCTCGGCCAGGCATCGAACCACCACCACACAACGCTGCAAAGAAAGTTTGTCTACGCAAAGCGTTGAACGACTCCCAGCATTAATCTGGCCCAAAGCAAAGCCACGCAAGGCGCATCCGGGATCTTTTTCTTTCTTTTTTTTTTAAAGAGGGGTGGGACAGAGAAAGAGGTGGCTAACGGGGGCCTCGAAAGCCCCCGCCCCCACCCCTTTTTCTCAGCTGCCCTCCATCCGCCCTCCCCCGCCCAGCCCCTCCCCGCCCCCTCAGGAGAAGGGCCCAGATCGAGGGCGGCCCTTCCTTCCCCATCCAGACCGGGCCGCCGGGAGAGAACCACGATGGGCGCGGGGGCAGAGGGGGGATTCTTTGGGGAGAGGAGACCACCAGGAAATGCCCGCCTCGGGGGCCGATCCGGGCCCGGGCCGGCAGCCCCCCCCAACCCCCACCCAGCCATTTCCGCCCCCGGCGCCTGCGTGGCTTCCGGCCAAAAGCCGCCCGGCCGAGAAGCGGCGTCGGGCAGGCCGCGCGGATCCCTTCCCTTGAGGCCGGCGAGGCCGAGGCCTGAGAGAAGGCCGGGCCGCCTGCTTACCTCAGGAGGCCCGGGAGGAGCGGCGGGCAGGGCCGCCTCAGCTGCCGCCGCCGCCGGGCCCGAGCGACCCTCCGCGGCCGGCCTAGGGCGGGAGGACGCGGCGCCGCCGCCTCCGCCGCCCCCTGCGCCGCCGCTTCCTGCGCGCCGGGGGGAGGACGACGACTACGACGATGGCGGCGGCGCTGCGAGCAAGGCCCTGGACCATCGCGCCGCCATTTGCCCCCGCTGCTTCCGTCACGGAGCGCCGCCCCCGCGGCCCGGACGCCGCCAATCCGCGCGCGCCTTACTCAGCCCGCCCGCCGCGCCTGCGCGACGCCTCGCGGCGGGGCGCGGCCCAGCCGCCAACGCGCATGTCCGCCCCGAGGGCTGCTAGGAAATGTAGGCGGAGGGCAAGCGGCTGTGCTGACTCAGCTCCCGGGGGAGGCTGGGAAGGCTGAGCAGGACGGGTTTCTCTTCCCGCCACGCTTGGTGGGGGGGGGGGGCTCTCGTTTTTGGAAGCAGCTTTGGCTTCCGGGAGTGGCCCCCCTGCCACCAGGATCTCCTCGTGGTGTCCCATCCAAGCCATAACTAATCAAGGAGAGAAGCAGCCTAGAACTAAGGAGAAACTTCCTGACAGTGAGAACAATTAACCAGTGGAACAACCTGCCTCCAGAAGCGGTGAATGCTCCAACACTGGAAGTTTTTAAGAAGAGACTGGACGGCCATTGGTCTGAAATGGTGAAGAGTTTCCTGCCTGAGCAGGGGGTTGGACTAGATGACCTCCAAGGTCCCTTCCAACTTTATTATTATTATTATTAGCGGTGAAAGTCCAGCCCTCTTTCAGGCATTTGCCATCACCTCCAAAAGTCTACCAGGATGGCGTTGTGATTGCTAGTGCTAGCAATTCGATTTTTTGTGGCCGCTCATGTCATTTTAAACTAGACTAAGTTTTAAAAAGATGAATAGCGTAAAACAATTATTTAAAAAGGCGTCTGGAGTGCCACGAAGCTCCTGGGATGAATTTGCACATCAGTTTTTGGTTGCGGACATGCAAATCCTTGTTGGCAAATAAATTCAATAAACAAATTGGTTTGATCGAGGCTGGCATTGGAAAAACAACGGTGCTGCCTTAATTGATTATATATATCAGAAAAGAAAGGAGGGGAGGACAGAACAGAGCAGAGGAGACTGTTGGATTTTTTTTTTACACGGAACCAAACCACTTGCACGTATTCCGACGACAGACTTAGCAAGTTTGGGGGATTTTTCAGCTCCTTGATTTGCTTTGATGGTAATATTGGAGGAGAGGTGGTTAATCTCTGAAAAACAAAAATCAGCTATCTGGATGCATCTTCTAACTAACATCTAAGGCATAAGCTTTTATAAGCTCACAAAAACTTAATGCCTTTTAAGAAAAAGTGTTAGTGGGGGGAAAAAAAGACTTTCTAAAAAAAGATAAAAGCCCCTTGCTTGCTCCAGGCTTACTTCCACCTCCAGATTGTTGCCTCAAGAGATGGGTACAGATCCAGATGGTATCTGGAGCTCTCGAAGGACCGTGGATCCTAGTTCCTTTAGAGCAGTGGTTCTCAACCTGTGGGTCGAGACCCCATTTGGGGTCAAACGACCATTTCACGGGGGTCGCCAAACAACGCAGTCCGCCATTTTTTTCCCCTTTTCCTTAGCTGTGCTACTCCCTTTTATTCTATTGGCTTTTGAAAGCCAATAGAAGAGAGTCTCTTGAATAGAGTCTAATTCTATTGGCTTTCAAAAGCCAATAGGAATTGTCCAGGCTGTCTCTGCCCTGCTGAGCCCGCCAAAAGTCCCCTTCTGCAAACGGTGCTGCACCAGTTGAGTAGTCTTCGACTTACGACCAGTTGAGTAGTCCTCGACTTACGACCGGTTGGGGGTCGCGGCATTAAAAAGGTTGAGAACTACTGATCCAAAGCAAATTGCTCCTTTGTACAGATTTATTTTTCCTGTGCATTGGAATCTTTTGTTCCACCCTATTAATAAGTTACACCGAGGAACTGTTTTGTTTTTGAAAGTGGCTTTATATCTCCATAAAAAACAACAACTAATTAAAAGGCGGTGTATTGAGCGGACCATTGATGAAGCAGAAATAAAGTCTGCTCATGTGCTGCTAATAAGGAGACTTCTACAAATGCAAAAAATGTAGCTTGAACAATGACAGAAATACTTTGCATCTGTGTGGCACACGTCAAATGTTTGAACTGCAACTGTTTGTACATCAGACCTGGAAAATAGGTCAGCGCTATTACCTCTCTAACTGTTGTTAGTGCTACACCTAGGTACGGGTCATCTAGCGAGTTTATTTCTGAGCTGAGGTTGGAATGGATGCTGTGAAGCCAAACTAATAAAAGGCAGAGTGTTCTCACTGCAATCGTTCTTGACAATCTAGGCTTGTGGTTCAGGAACCAGAGAAGCTGCCTCTTCTTTTCAACGTGGAAAGGCTACATTTTGCATAGAGAAAAAGGGAGGTGAAATGCTAGAGCAGAATTGCCGAAGCTTGGCAATTTTAAGACCTGTGGATTTCTGCCCCTAGAACAGTGGTTCTCAACCTGTGGGTCGGAGCCCCATTTGGGGTCGAACGACCATTTCACGGGGATCGCCAAACAACACAGTCCGCCATTTCCCCCCCCCCTTTTCCTTAGCTGTGCTACTCCCTTTTATTCTATTGGGTTTTGAAAGCCAATAGAATAGACTCTCTTGAATAGAGTCTAATTCTATTGACTTTCAAAAGCCAATAGGAATTGTCCAGGCTGTCTCTGCCCTGCTGAGTCTGCCAAAAGTCCCATTCTGCAAATGGTGCTGCACCAGTTGAGTAGTCCTCGACTTACGACCGGTTGAGTAGTCCTCGACTTACGACCGGTTGGGGGGTCGCGGCATTAAAAAGGTTGAGAACCACTGCTCTAGAATGAAATGCAATGAAATTCTGGTCCCAATTGGTCTATAAAGCCTGGAGTTTCTACCCTGCGTTTCCTTCAAAAAAATCCATGACCTCGTTATTGCAGGTCAGCCCTGATCAAGCATAGAATAGAATAGAATAGAATAGAATAGAATAGAATAGAATAGAATAGAATAGAATAGAATAGAAATATGGAATGGAACAGAACGGAACAGAATAGAATAGAATATGGAATGGAATAGAATAGAATAGAATAGAATAGAATAGAATAGAATAGAATAGAATAGAATAGAATAGAATAGAATAGAATAGAGCTGGAAGGGATCTTGGAGGTCTTCTAGTCCAGCCCCCCGCTCAAGCAGGAGAACCTATACCATCTCAGACAAGTGACTGTCTAGCCTCTTCTTAAAAATCTCCAGTGATGGAGCGCCCACGATTTCTGGAGGCAAGCTGTTCCACTGGTTAATTGTCCTCACTGTCAAGAAGTTTCTCCTTAATTCCAGGTTGCTTCTCTCTTTGGTCAGTTTCCAACCATTGTTTCTTGTCCTGCCCTCTGGTGCTTTATTTGGAGAATAATTTGACCCCCTCTTCTTTGTGACAGCCCTTCAAATACTGGATCACTGCTCTCATGTCTCCCCTATTTCTTCTTTTCTTTAGGCTAGCCAAGCCCAAGTCCTGCAGCCGTTCTTCGTATGTTTTAGTCTCCAGGCCTTGGATCATCTTAGTTGCTCTTCTCTGAACTTTTTCCAAGGTCTCAACATCCTTTTTTGTAGTATGGTGAACCAAAATTGGTTGCAGTCTTCCCAATCTGATCTGCAGCCCACTCGCTTTCTTAAGAAATAGCCTTCTTCTTTCAAAATCCGCAGGGGGAGCCCATGTTTTTCACCTGCCATCTGCAAACCTTCCCCAACTGATCTTGCCAGCCAGCCTTTGCTGCTGTCAAAACATCAAGCTTCCTAAAGCTGAGCACAAAACTGGGGTACAAAATTCTGGCTGGATGGAAGAAGATTTCACCCCTTGCAACTGATAACTTAATGGCCTGGGATAACCAGAGAGAAACCCCCCCCCCCTCTTTCCTCTCCCCCCCTCTCCCTCCCTCCCCCCCCCTCTCTTTCCTCTCCCTCTCTCTTTCTCTTTCCCTTCTCTCCCTTTCTTTCTCTCTTTCCTCTTCCTCTCTCTTTCTCTCCCTTTCTCTCCCTCTCTCTCCCTCTTTCTCTCTCTCTCTCTTTCCTCTCCCTCTCTCTCTCTCCTCTCCCTCTCTCCCTCTTTCCTCTCCCTCTCTCTTTCTCTTTCCTCTCCCTCTCTTTCTCTTTCTCTCTCTCTTTCTCTCCCTTTCTCTCCCTCTCTCTCTCCCTCTCTCTTTCTCTCTCTCTTTCCTCTCCCTCTCTCTCCCCCTCCCTCCCTCTCTCTCTCCTCTCCCTCTCTTTCTCTTTCCTCTCTCTTCCTTTCTCTTTCTCTCTTTCCTCTCCCTCTCTCTTTCTCTCCCTCTCTCTCTCCCTCTTTCTCTCTCTTTTCTCTCTCACTTTCCTCTCCCTCTCTCTTTCCTCTCCCTCTCTCTTTCTCTTTCCTCTCTCTCCCTTTCTCTTTCTCTCTCTTTCCTCTCCCTCTCTTTCTCTCTTTCTCTCTCCTCTCCCTCTCTCTTTCCTCTCCCTCTCTCTTTCTCTTTCCTCTCTCTCCCTTTCTCTTTCTCTCTCTTTCCTCTCCCTCTCTTTCTCTCTCTTTCTCTCTCTTTCCTCTCCCTCTCTCACTCTTTCTCTCCCCCCCTCTCTCTTTCCTCTCCTTCTCTCTTTCTCTCTCTCTTTCCCTCTCTCTCTTTTTCTCTCCCCCTCCCTCCCTCCCCCCCCTCTCTCTCTCTCTCTTCCTCTCCCCCTCTCTTTTTCTCTGCACTGACTCCGGAGAAGCCAGCCCACAGACCTTCTGCTGCAAGTGGCAGGGCTGGAAAAGCGGGTTCTGCAGGATGAAGCAATGAGGATTCTCACGGATGTGCCCAGCAGTTCCTCCATGGTGGTGCTTCAGTACTCCATACAAATTCTCTCCCTCTCAGCGCTGGGGTGAACGAGGAGCAGGGCACAGGCAAAGGGACATTTTCTTTCCAGCCCAAATTCTCAGGGGAAAGTCTTAAGCAGGGGATTCTCCAACCTTGGCCAGTTGAAGAGGCATGGATTTCAACTCCAAGAATTCCTCAGCCAGTATGGCTGGCTGGGGAATTCTGGGAGTTGAAGTCCATGCTTCTTAAGGTGGCCAAGTTTGGGAATATCCTGCTCTTCAGGAAAACTAAAAGAAGAGGATCAGATTTGCAAGGAAATGTGCAAGCAGTAGGTCTTCTGAGAGGGCGGACCCCAACTCACAAC